TTTTGTAACTCAGTCATGAATTAAATGGGTGTTGCTGGGTTCACTTGGGAATATAGTATTGGGTGATATGCGTGTAAGAAATTTTGTTCTGAGTTTTAAACAACCAATTTACAAGTGAACACTTAGAAGGCAACCAATGCACCATTTGAGAATTATCCAAATTAACCCATCCTTACGAAAGTCAGCTTTTGATTCCTCTGGGAGTTATCCTCCATGGTATGTGTGATTCAGGGCTATAGTGCTACCACTTCTAGTCTCTTCACTGTTTAATTTCTCATTGGCTGCCTACAAAAGCTAAGAAAGGAATAAAAAGAGAAGAATGCATTGAAACCAGTTCCACTATGGCAATTCTGATTAAAACCTTACTTTGGTGCCGAAACTGATTTGGCTCAGTGGATAGAGCGTCAGCCTGCAGACTAAAAGGTCCCAGGTTCGATTCCTGTCAAGGGCATGTACCTTAGTTGCGGGCACATCCCCAGTAGGGGGTGTGCAGAAGGCAGCTGATCCTGTTTCTCTCTCATTGATGTTTCTAACTCTCTATTCCACTCTCTTCCTCTCTGTAAAAAAATCAATAAAATATATTAAAAACAAAACAAAACAAAACCTTACTTTGGTGCAGGGCACTACATTTCAAAAAGACGGCGTGGTTTTAACGGCCCATTTTCTTTCTCACCACTCTCCATGTCCATGACTGCACCCTCCGTCCTTTGGAGAGAAAGGTGCGTATGGGAGCGGCACAGTTTTTTGAAACAAAGGGCTAGATGCATTGCACCAACTTTCACTGGTCCATTTTCGCACGTTTTTGAGGTTCTTCTGGGGTTTCATGAACAATACATGTCTAATGAACATTGGACAAAATAGTAGGGTCTAAGGAGGCCAAAGGGCGTGTTTATTTCTACTTTCCAGGCAGGCACTGCATGGGCAACAGGGGAGTGCGTTCTTCACCGATGCCAGGCTTTATGGCATCGGCATCCCTCTGGACCTTTCTGGATAAGTTCTGACGTGGCCTTCCTGAACCTTTGCTTCTTCTTCTTTTTGGAATCACCTGGGAAGCTTTAATGATACTGATGCCTTTTAGGCCACAGCTTCCTGATTTGGAGTTGTGACCTGGGCACCGGGATTTTTAAAAGCTCCCCAGGAGATCCTAACGGGTAGCCAAGGTGAAGAACCACTCCTCTACACTCAATTCACTTTATATTAGGAACATATTGGTTTACACAGAATTTGAAAGTTCAATTTAGGTCAATAAATATTTATTGAGTACCTACTCATATAAGGTACACAGCAGACTTTTGACACAGCCCATACCAACAGGAAGCTAAAATCCAGTATAGGAAAGACTGGGCTAGAGCAGAGGGAGGGGGCAGGCAGGTAGAGAGAGGCTGTGCTTTACATAAAATACTATACAAAGTGCTCTTCTTCTATCGAAGACATTTGCTGTAAGGTTTCAAAGAAAATAGAGCTGGCCCTAACTGGTTTGGCTCAGTCGATAGAGCGTAGGCCTGCGGACTGAGGGGTCCCAGGTTCGATTCCGGTCAAGGGCATGTACATTGGTTTCGGGCACATCCCCTGTGGGGGGTGTGCAGGAGGCAGCTGATCGATGTTTCTCTCTCATCGATGTTTCTAACTCTCTATCCCTCTCCCTTCCTCTGAGTGAAAAATCAATAAACTATGTTTTAAAAGAAAATAGAACTGCATTCGGTTGGGGTCTGGGGAGTCAGAAGAGATTTCACAGAGGCAGTGGCCTCTGACATGGCTCTTCCGGAGCAGGGAAGGTGTCCATAGGTATAGACAGGGAGAGAGGCTTCCAGGCCAAGGTGAAAGGGAGGCCTGTGGCTGCAGAGCAGGGGCCTGGGTTGAGTGTGCTGCCCCCTAGGGGGTGTTTTCTGAGTGACAGGTGAAGAGCATCGGGATCATATTGGAGCAAGCCTTGAATGCCCTACGGCGGAACAGTTGGCACCGGAGTGAGCTCCAGAGAGCCACTGGGGGTTTGAAATTGGGGAATAATATGACCGGAGTAGTACTTTGGGAAGAATGAGCTGATGCTGAGATTTGGGCTGGATTTGAGTGGTGTAGAAACAACAGGATTAGAGGCCAAATGCCACTTAGAAGCATTTTATCACAATTGAGGTCAGAAGTATTGAGGGAAATTAATAAAGTCACAAAGGTGACTGCAGGGGGATAGTAAGGAAGGGCAGATTGTTAAAAAAAAAGTTTTAGAATTAGCAGGACTTATCAATTGATTGGATAGAGGAAACAGAAAAATAATTTGGATCTTTTTACTTGGATGACTAGGTGCATTAATAGAAATTATTAAACTAGGTTGAAGAACCACTTACAAAAGGGAGGATGGTGGGATCTGCTGAATATGTTGAGTTCAAACGTATCCAGGAGAACTACAACTTCTTATATAAGTATTCCTCATTGAAATTGAATTCTCATAGAATTCTCAAAGCAGGGCACCAATTTATTCAACTCAGTGGTTCTCAGCAAAGGGGGGTTCTGCATCTCAGAACATAAGGCAATGTATAGAGATGGTTTGAGTGGCCACAACCTCAGAAGGGGCTGCTATGCTACCGGCATGTAGTGGGTAGAGGTCAGGGATGCTAATAAGCATCCCCACGTACACAGGACAGTTCCCCCAAACAGAGAATCATCTAGCCCCAAATGTCAATAATGCTGACCTTGAGGAACCCTGCTTTACATAATCCAATAGCTCAATTTCAAGTGTGTGTGTGTGTGTGTGTGTGTGTGTGTGTGTGTGTCTTATATTTTAGGTTACACAGTGCCATCTAATGGTCAAATATAATATTTATCCCAGCTCTGGAACACCAAAAGGCACATTTCAAAAAAATATTCAGAAAGCTAGGACAAATAAAGATGAAATCTATCCTCCCGTGGGAGAACTGTCTAGGGTTTACAGAAATGTGATGGGGAGGCTGGGTGTGCAACTGTGAGGGAGCCATCCTGGAGTTAGAAAGTTCTCTTTGGTTATAGGAGATTTCATAACAGACGCCAGTAGGGAAATAGAATGTCTTACAGGATGCATTCTACATAAAATGCATGCTATTTTATTACAGTTGCCCATATTGTTAGCAATGTTCCTGTATACATGAAAAAGGAAACAAAATCTAATAATTCTGCTAAATAATTGACCGAAATCTTGATTTCAGTCATGAAAAGATAGGACGAGGAGAACTAGAAACTTCTATTTGAACATATATACACATATACATACATATACATATATATGTATATATATATACATATACATATATATGTGTGTGTGTATATATATCCCCAAGAAGCAGCACTCTAAATGCCTTATATCTTACCTTGTCTACTAGATTGTAAGCTCCTTGAGGCTAGGAGTTTCCTATGTTTGTATATCTTACAGTCTCCAGCATAGCATCCTATATATACACAAATGACTTTTTGAGTGAATGAATTTCTTTTTATACTGAAAATCCTTGCCTTGAAGTGAAGAAAAGTGCCAAGCCTTTCTAAGCAATAACTATTTGTTCACTTGCGTCATTTGTCTGCTGCGGGTGCCCAGCTCAGGGAACACCAGAAAGGTGGGCACAGGGATCGGTAACAGATGCTTCCAGTTCACATCACTGGGGAGCAGACTGTGCTGTGATGAGCAATCCCAGGACAATTTTTGGGCTGGTGTGTGTGAATGAAGATTTCTCTATCTAATGTAAGATTCATTCACCCAAAAAATATCTGTGGAGTGTCTACTTGTGCTAAGCACTCTTCTAGGCACTGGAGATATTGCAGTGAGCTTGTCCAAAAATTCCTTAAGTGGAAAGGCAGGGTTTGAATTGGTGGTTTAGAATACAGAGGCAAATTCCCCTTCCCTTCTACTTTCCCAGTTAGCGTAATATTTCATAGATAGAAAATGCAATTTGATTAATGACCTCCTAGCAGTTCACAACTACTAAATATCTCTCCTTGCACACCCACTGCTCTGCAGGGGCAAGTGAAGAACTCTCCTGTCACTTCCTCCCCTTGTTTGCATCTCTTTCTTCCTCACTGCCTCATACACTTCCAGACTTTGGGGGTGAGGGGAGGAGTGGGAGGGTCAATTTATTTATGGGCAGACAAAGATGATTCTTGCATAGTTTGCAAGTGGCCACTGAAGCTAGTCATTTCTAAAAAGTGTCCCCACAGAAGATTTCTTATTGGCTGGTTTATTAGCAGCTCCGTAGTTCTCGAGTCTAGGGATATATAAATTCCACTCACCACTGTATTAAAAAAAAAAAATGGTGCAGACAGGTGGGTGGAGCCCTGTTTTGGCTATAGGATAAGTGCCCTTGCAGTACTGAGTGTCGCAGTGATTTTGTTATCTCAAGCACACTTTGGCACCTGATTTTGTGGCTCAGTACACCCGGGATAAGCAAAAACGCTTCTCCACGTATGTGACTTGCATGGCATGACCTCCTAATGCTAAGTGGAAGTGACTTAACGAAGCCACCGGAACTAAAGCTATGGATGTAATCAGTGAAAGGTGGTGGAGACCTCCCATCTTCTTCCTTTTTGTTGTGTGGCGAGTTAGTGAAACCTAAGGTCACTACTGCTAAACTCTTCTCAGCCCAAGCATATATGGCCCCTAATTGCTCCTAGTAGAGTCTACTAGGAGCAATCTACTACTAGGAGCAATCCAGTAAGATCTGGGACTACATCCCTAACCCAGCACGGGGCAGGGGAGCATGCTAGCCTTCCCCCAGAGCAGTGGGTGGCAGCGGCTTCACATCTTTGGTTCCTCTGTTATTGTCCTCTCACGTTTTTTGTTGGAATCTTTAGAAGGCACAGGCCCGCCTCTCTTCCCCAGCGGAGACTGCAGGAGTCTGCTGGGGATTTACACAAAACACTCCTTGCTGCAGGCCCAGCAGGGTGGGAACTTACTCAAATCCAGTTGCTTGGGAAACTCTGGTTCTGGCGCACCCTCCTTCCCTCTCCACAGTCTGCCCCCTGACACAGCAGGCACCCAGACCTCCTTACAGTTCATCACTCTCCACCACGCTCTGAGAAGAGCACGAATACACCATGGTGCTTTCCATGGAGGAGAAGGCAGAGAAAATGTCAAGTCCTTTGCTGGTGAGAGATCCGTAGCGACTGCCACTGGGCCGGATGGACATGGGCGGTGGGATCTGATGGTGCCACTGAGCTGGAAAATGAACCGAACGACATGTTGCGATCAGAGGAGTGCACCGCAGGCATGTGTTCTTTTGCCATGCCAGCACTTTCTGTGGGGTCTTGGGAAAGCTTTCACATGCATCTGGGTCTGCAATAACTCGTTTGTAAAAGAGAACAATGAAATCATTCCTTCCCTGCCAGGAAGAGGGAAACTGGGCTAGTGATCTCTTTAACGCCTAATTGAAAAACCTGTGATTGCAATCCAGTAAGATCTGAGACTATAAGAAGGAAGAGTGGGCGCCCAGGTGATTGATCAAAATTATCCCCTCTGACCGACCTAGCATGGGGCCTGTGAAGGGCAGTGTAGGGAGGGCTGTGGGTGGCCCTTGTTGTTTCTTGTTGTCAGAAAGTGAAAACAAGAAACCTGTGGAAATGGAAGCCAAAAGATGGGTCCTGACCTCTGAGAAGTGCCCGCCCCATGCTCTTATCACCCTAATCAGCCATGAGTTATAGCAAGAAGACTGTTATAGCAAGAACCGTGCCATCAAGCACGGTTCAGGGCAAAAGTGAATGTACGGGGGATCCCATGTTCACCAAGCACTATCCAAAGGAGACCCTGCTTTTAGCAGACACAACCAGTAGGCGTGGCCCATGGCTCAAACGAAATATCCATCCGAACTGCCCAGCCTCCGCTGTTGTCTCTGATTCAGAAACTGCCACACAGTCTTTTGAGTAGGCTTTGGTGTGAAGAAGAGGGAGTATCAGGCGAGGAATCACATTCTTATTTATAAACTGGTCCACTGTTCATTTCATTGTTTTAAATCAGTCTTTCAGAGTTTAAATACTTCTGAGTGAATTAAGATCAAACTTCGGAAGCTACAGAACCCAGGACAAAACTTACAGGGATTCCACGGGAAGAGCCAGCCCTTGGTAGCTAAGCCTCACCCCAGCACACTATCCCTTAGCCTCACCCTGCTCTCTCTGAGATCGCACCCAGACTCCTATAATTGTTACTATTAGAAGAGAGAGAGAGAGAGAGAGAGAGAGGGAGGGAGAGAGAGAGAGAGAGAGAGAGAGAGAGAAAGAGAGAGAGAGAGAGAGAGAGGGAGGGAGAGAGAGAGAGAGAGAGAGAGAAAGAGAGAGAGAGAGAGAGAGAGAGAGAGAGAGAGAGAGAGAGAGAGAGAGAGAGAGAGAAGCCTACTGTCCGGATTCCTCAGACAGGCAGGATGTGGGGTGAGGGACAAAGTGGACTGATTTTAGCCCAAGTTTGCCATCCCCTTCTCCACCCACAAGTCCCAACTAAGGAAACAGCGCCTCCTATTGGTGCTGTAGAGTCAGGACAGGAACAAGGAAGCGGTGAGCCAGGACAGATTGAACTGGGAACTCGGCCACTGTGGGCAGGGTTGGGTGAGTCCTCAGTCTCAGGGATTATTGGTCTGGAGCTGGAGACCTCGTTCCTTCAGACAGGTGAAGCTAGGGAAATGGTGAAGGAACCTGGCCTAATTAACAGACATATCACTGTCCTCTCCCCACTGACTTTCCCTGGGGAAAGTACATTAGAGTCAGCTTCTCTCAGAGTTGAGTTTCTTTTCGAGCCTAAGAATAAGGGAAAATAATCAGGAAGCTATATATTTCCTCTAAATAGTAGACCTAGGAAAATAGCAGGCCAAGTCTCCTCCACTATGGCACAAGAAAAAAAAAAAAAGGGAGAGGTAATCTGGTATATGCCTATGAATAAATAGCAGGGACCTTAGATTCTAGACAATTACTATTTTTGTTGTTGTTGTTGTTAATGCTCACCCGAGGATATTTTTTCCACTGATATGTACTAGTAGAGAGAGTGGAAGGAAGGAAAGGTGGGAAATAGAGAGAAAGACTGAGAGAGAGAGAGACATCAATTGGTCGTCTGCCCCACACACCCTGACCAGGGCCAGGATTAAAGCTGCAACCCATGTTCAATTGACCAGGAATTGAACCCTTGACCCTTCAGTGCAGAGGTCAACACTCTAACCACTGAGTAACACTGGCCAGGGCAAAAGAAAAAAAAAAAGATTTAAAAAGTTGCCTATTACATGCAGATGTTCAACCAATGCCAGCACACCTACCGTATATATCCAGCCGGGCGGTGCAGGACACGATTCCGGCTTCGTTCTTTGCCGACAGCGTGTACCATCCGGCGTCTGACTTCTTGGCGGGCTGAATGAGGAGGCAGACATACCCCGTCGTGTCCTGGTGCATACTGGGGAAAAGAAAGAATATGTCCCTATTGCATCTGGGGGCAGAGACGGCTTGTCAAGGTTTGGGCTCAGGGAAACTCTGGGGACACATCCAGTGGTGCGGTGTTCCTAGGCGGAGGGAAGGGGAACCCAGCTTAAAGCAAATATCAAAGCTAGCTGGAGGTAGAAGGAAGCGACAAAAGAGCCACAATTAACCCAGCGAGGCCGTGAGGAAGGCTGAGACCCGGTCTTGTTCTCCCGATTGCTCCAACTCCCCACCGAGGCAGCCCTACTTGTCACAACCAACGTCCGGAAAAATCTCTTTTCCAAACCAGGTTGGACATTTCTACAAGAACTCTGTTAGGAAGGGATGGAAAAGCGTGGTCCCAAGCCCAGAGGAACTGTTGGCATGGAGGGAGTATTTCTTAATGTAACCAACTGGGCATGTGCAGCATTTAGCTCAAGACAGTTCAGGAGCAAATGAGCATATTCTCCTTCTGTTTCCTCCACATCAGTAGTTCTCCACCTTGCAATCCCGGATAATCCCACCAGGATTTCAGGCTGGGTTGAACCTGTTACCTTCATGTAGACCAGTGGTTCCCAATGTGGGGGCACATGCCCCACAGGGGGGCAATTTGATTTTTAAGGGGGGCAATTCGAGAATGAGTCATTAACAGTGAATTTTTGCATTTCTTATGGCTCTAGGGGGCTCATATACAGTATATAAATATATATTGTGACATATTTATGCATTTCAGTTCTCTATTGTATGATTTGAAACTTTATTTGCTATTTTCCATATCACTTCATATTCTTATTTTTTAAAAAACATTTCTTAGGAATTTCTTCCTCAGTACTTCAACTGTCCATTCATGGTTTCATTTTTCTTTTTCATGGATGCGATGTTCTTTGGAAGTTGGTTTAGACCAAGTTAGTGGCCTTTTAGGCTTCCTCCACATGAATAGGAATTCACTTTTTGAATAAGAATTATATGTCATGCCCTGGCCAGTTTGGCTCAGTGGATAGAGTGTCAGCCTGCAGACTCAAGGGTCCCAGGTTTGATTCTGGTCAAGGGTATGTACCTTGGTTGCGGACACATCCCCAGTGGGGAGTGTGCAGGAGGTAGCTGAATCGATGTTTCTAACTCTCTTTCTCTCTCATTTCCTCTCTGTAAAAAATCAATAAGACATATTTTTAAAAAAAGAAGAAGAAAAAAGGAATTATATGTCAACAAGGAGGGGGGCATCAAGGTTTTAGAGATGCTTAGGTGGGGCATGGCCAAAAAAAAGGTTGGGAACCACTAATTTAGACTCAAGTGTGAACTTGAGAATATTCTCAGTTCTTGCTTAAGTTTTACCAGAGAAAAATCCTGGCCTATATAGACTTCTCAGATGCCCAAATTCTTTAAAACCTGACAGCTGCAACAGTCCCTGGGACAAATTTCTTTGACTATGAAGAAATAATTCTCAGTAGGAATTTCTGTACTCTAGCTGCCTTTGTTTGCTTGCCCACTTGTGGCATAAAACCAAAGTGGCAAAGAAATGAAGGTTAGGGAAGCACTGTAAGAAACTTGATCCTTAAAGTTACTTTAAAAACAACCATGTGGTGATAATGGATAGAGAAGGAGTTTAACTGCCTTAACGTTTTGTTTTGCTTTATTTTATTTTATTTATTTATTTTTTTAAATCAATCTTTATTGTTCATATTATTACAAAGGTTCCTCATTTCTTCCCCCCTCCACCAGGTTCCCACCCCACCCTCTGCCCCCTCCCCACCCCCCATTGTCCTCATCCATAGGTGCAGTTTATGTTCAGTCTCTTCTTCCCTCAATTTCCCCAATAGTAAATCCCTTTTCAGATAGTAAATCAGTTACTTAGCATTTTCTCATATCAATAATACCTCCACATGCCCAATGATACACTTCACACAAAAGACATTTCCCAGTAGGTCAACCAGCCTCATCCAGGCCCCACCCAAGGCACTCACAGATCAACATCCCAGTCCTAAACTAACTCAACACATCCAGATCTAAGCCTTCATCACTTGATTCAGCAGACCCTCAAGTTCCCACGAAAGTTTCCAGCCATGTCTGAGAAGCAGCCGTGGGGCAGGGGCAGGCAAGGAGCGAGCTGTTCTGGGCCTGGTTGCTCAGGGCCTGGCCTCTGTTGCTCTGGTTCATTCCACAACCAGCTGCTCCGGGTCTGGTCACTGTCGCTCCCGACCTAGTTGCTCTGGACTTGGCTGCTGCTGCTCCGGGCCTGGCCGCTCCCAGCCTGGCAGCCGCTGCTCCGGGCCTGGCCGCACCCGACCCGCCTGCTCCCCCGGGCTGGCCGCTCCCAGCCTGGCAGCCGCTGCTCCGGGCCTGGCCGCACCAGCCCCGCCTGCTCCCCCGGGCCTGGCCGCTCCCAGCCTGGCAGCCGCTGCTCCGGGCCTGGCCGCACCAGCCCCGCCTGCTCCCCCGGGCCTGGCCGCTCCCAGCCTGGCAGCCGCTGCTCCGGGCCTGGCCGCACCCGACCCGCCTGCTCCCCCGGGCCTGGCCGCTCCCAGCCTGGCAGCCGCTGCTCCGGGCCTGGCCGCACCTGACCCGGCCGCTCCGAGCCTGGCCACTCCCGAGCTGGATGCTCTGGGCTTGGCTACTGCTGTTCTGGGTCTGGCTGCTCCCACCCCGGCTGCTCTGGGCCCGGCTTCTCCGGGCCCGGCCACTCCGGGTCTGGGTGTTCCTGTACTGGCCACCCTGGGCTTGGCCGCCTCCGCCTCATGCCTGGCTGCCACTGCCCCAGGTCTGGCTGGTCCAGTGCTGGCTGTTGATGCTCTGGTTCTGGCTGCTGTTGTTCTGGGGCCTGGCCATTGCTGCTCCGGGTCTGGCTGCCACTGCCTTGTGCCTGGCCACTCTAGGCCTGGCCGTCGCTGTTCCAACATTTTGTCTTTTTTTTTTTCTTTTTAAAACGCATTTATGTTGCAATGTTGGCTGGTGAGTTGAGTTCTGACTTAGTCTTTGATTTTTCAAGATCTTCTTTGTATTCTTTCTTAAGTAATTTTACTATCTTTTGCTCTCACTTGATTTCTTCACATTGAGAACTTCTTTGGTTTCTTCCTCCTTGTCCTGGGAGCTCAGCAGGTTGGCCTGTGGCACCCCTTTGTTCTCCATGGGCTCCTGCGCTGCTTCAGCCTGTTGCCGGGACGGCGGCGCCGCCCAGGAAGCAGCCCCCGGCCTTGGCTCCATTGCCCGAGCTCAGTGGTCAAAGGCTCAGGGGCACCCACGCCCCCAGGGGCCCCGTGGCCCGCCTCCTTGCTGGTGCCCGGTTGGCTGGAGTCCGGCAGGGGCTTCCGCTCCCCTCCGCGTTCCCCCAGCCTAGAGCTTTTTTTTTTTTTCTCCTTCCCGCTAGAGAAGTCCAGCATCAGAGTCAACAGACTGTCCTCTGCGCGCCGTTTGCGCGAGTCCCACAGACTGTCCTCTGCGCGCAGTTTGCGCGAGTCCCGGGGGCCCGGCCTTTCGCCACTCTCCCCGGACTCCACCTCACAGCCCCGTCTCCCTCTGCCTGAGCCTGGGTCCCCAGGAATTGGCCCAGAACTGGGGTTCGGAGCAGTCCGGACTGAGGCTCAGCGCCGCCGGAGGCCTTGTTTCTTTCGGCTAGGGCAACCCAGCATCAGAGTCAACATTCAGTCCTCTGCGCTCGCATTGCGCGCGACTCCCGGGGCCCTGCTTTTCGCCGTTTTTCCGCCTCACTGCCCCGTCTCCTCCCACCGGGGCCTGGGTCCCCAGGGTCTGGCCCATAACTGGGGCTCAGCGCTGCCGGTTCGGGGGTTCAGCCCAGGCTGGGGGTTTTATTTCCTTCCTGCTAGGGAAGGAAAGGCGGCTCCCCGCCCTCTCCTCCTCTCCGGCTGCGACCTCTCTGTGCGTGCGGGCGGGCACGCGCGCGCAGCATGTCTCCGTACCTTAGGCTTTTTTTCAGCTCCTCTGATTTTCTTTCTGGTTTTCTCTTTCCTTCTTGTTGTAGAAATTTCAGTCAGTCGACTACCTGTAGCTCTGGGCAATGTCCACTCTACATTTTAGTTGTATTCCATTGAAATTGTTGTGTGCTGCCGCGGCTAGATGTCTACCCGAGCAGCCATCTTGGATCCTCCCCGCTTTATTTTATTTTAGCTTATCATCATCACAAGGTTTTCTGGGTAATGATATGACTAAAGACACATGACAGAAACTATGCTTAGTCTTCATAAATTTTTTGTTCATTTTTGTTTATTTGTGATTTTTAAAATCTTCACCTAAGAACATGTTTTATTGATTTCAGAGAGAGAAGAAGGGAACAGGAGAGAAACATTGATGTGAGAGAAACATAGATTCATTTCCTCTCATGTGTGCACTGAACCTGCAACCTAGTTTATGTACCCTGACCAGGAATTGAACCTGCAACCTTTCGGTGCACAGAAAGATGCTCTAACCAACTGAGTCACCCAACCAGGGCTGTTTTTAATTTTTATAGGAGTTCATTCGAGCCAAACTGATGACATATGCTGGGAATCAAGATCTCAAGTGCTCCTCTTTAGACCTTTTATTCTGTACATATTTTATTGTTGTTAGAATTACAGATGTCTCCTGTTTACCCCCCTTTACACCCATCCTCCCAGCCCCTCACATCTCCCATGTCTTCACAGTTAAAAACGGTGGGATGTTCATATGACAGACTACTCCCCAGCAACAATGAGGAATAAACTCTTGATATGCACAATACCATGGACATAACTCAAATGCATTCATCTCAGCAGAAGAAGCCAGATTCAAAAGGCTATAGACAGATGTGGGCGTCCCTCTGAATGTGGGGTCCGTACCTGATTCTCTCTCTGGTGCCAGGGATGGTCTCATTGTCCTTCTTCCAGTAGAACACGGGCGGCGGCATGCCTATCACCCGGCACTCCAGCCTCACCAGGTGGCCCTCCGGGACCCCGCTGTTCTGCAGCTTCTCCAGGATCACGGGTGCTTTCTTCACCTCTTTGGCTGAACGAGAGAAGGACCGTTCTTGTGTGAACAGTAAGTGCCTGGGGGTTCATTTCTCAAACTCATTCCAGTCCTGGAACTTAGCAGAGTAGACCCCCACCCCCTTAGCTCCTCTTCAGAACACTTCTCTCTCCTCCAAGCGGGAGTCATTGCCTTGACAAAAGCTCCAGAAAGGATTAAAAAAAGAAACGAGGAAAGCGTCTCTGTCAGAGGCAACGCTCAAGGGTCTAGGTCTCACACAGAGGATGCAAATAGTAGGTGTGCAATTTAAGGAGTTCCCCTCTTTGCTCAGCAGTAAAATTTGAGAAACAATATATTTTATGTGCTGCACATATCCACTTTCTTTTATTCAGGAGTTCATTTTGTAAAAGATATATTAATTTTCCTGAACTTTTTATTTGGAAAAAGTTTCTAGCTATAGAAAAGTTGAAAGAAGTATATACTATTTTTTATTTTTATTTATTTACTTTAAAAATATATTTTATTGATTTTCTATAGAGAGGAAGAGAGAGGGATAGAGAGTTGAAACAACAATGAGAGAGAATCATCGATCAGCTGCCTCTTGCACACCCTCCCCACTGGGGATGTGCCTGCAACCAAGATACATGCCCTTGACCGGAATCGAACCTGGGACCTTTCAGTCTGCAGGCCGACGCTCTATCCACTGAGCCAAACCTGTTTTGGCAGAAGTATATACTATTTTTAAAAAAATACACAAATTATACTTCCCAAGGAGGCTTTGAGGGGAGGCAGAATCAATTAAGACAATATACCACAGATCTTGGGGTTCCAGAGTCAATATTTAAGCAAAAGAGCAGGGAAAAGTAAAAGTTGGCAATCAATATATTATTGCAGAATAAACTTGTTCTACTCTGTTGGTAAGAAGAAATCACGAGTGAGAAAAAGAAAAAGACACTTGGGAGAACTAGCCTGGAGAGAGGATTAGCATGCTTAAGCCACCCCGATTTCCTGTAGGAGCCACACCTGGGAGAAAACCCAGCACTCAAATTTGTATGCTCTGAAATTTAATTCTGGTTGGACTACTACCCCGAAGGGCTGATACCATAAAGGTGACGATGACTTGTCCTGTTTTGCAGGCGTTCATTTTGTTCACATCATCTTTTAAGGTAAAAATTCATTGTCTAGTTATGGACTCAACGTTTGTTGGGCACCTTCCATGATGCAGGCAGAGTCAAATGCCGGAGATCCACAGAAGAGGAGGTCAGAATCTCTGACCTTAGAAGCTCATAGTCTCTTCCGGGGGCATGGGAGTGAGCGACTGCAGAGTAAGTGCTCTGAGAGCATCTCCTTGCCTAAGGACCATGGAAACAGTGGAGGGTGTGCCTCATGGATCCTCTCTGCCTTGGTAGTGACATTTTAATTAAGCCTTAGGGAATCAGTAAGAGGTTCCTAGGCAGAGAAGGGCAGGTAGATGGAAAGGTATGGAAGCTTAGAGTGGGGTGAGGAAGAGCCTTGTGTGTTCCAGGAGTGATGATCTGTAGGGCAAGTGGCTTGAATTTAGTAATGCTCAGTTAATTAATTGGGTAATTAATTAATTGATAAATTAACTATTAAAATGACTCATTTATTGCATGCATTCCAGGCACACGGCACCCTATTCTATTTTTAGCTTACTGATATGTCTTTGAAGCAATAAAGCAATGTACAAAACATGGCCCCTATTACTGTGAAGGGGAAACTGAGATCAGACTTGGTGGGGAAAAGGCCTAAGGAATTCTCTCAGCGGCTCTGCATATTTGGGCAGTGACATTGGAAAGAGTCACCTTTAAGCAGCAAACCTTACCTACTACAGTGAGCTCCAGACTAAAGGAATTCTGTCCCGTTTTGTTGGTAGCAACACACGTGTAGGTCCCTGCATCACGTTGAGTGAGAGGGTCAATGAGCAGAGAGTGGACTCCGGTCTCTCTGACCAGCATCTTGTGGGAGACATCTGGTAGCACAGGTTGGCCATTGAGCAGCCACGTCAGCTCTGGGGGTGGTAAGCCACTCACCTAAAAAAGAAGCGGGACAGCTGAGGCAAATGAGAGACTGATGACAGGCAGATTGATTTGGTGGCTGAATTCTTCAGCCTTATCTGGCACCAAATAGTGAAAGAAAACATGGAGTAGCGAAGAGACATTGGGACAAGAGGAATCTGGATGAATGGCCATGTTAATTTAAATTGTATAGTATTCTGAGCCCAAATTCAGGTCATTATAAATATATATGCCTAAGTGATCGGCTGACTAGCAGACCCTCTGGTAGCTATGATGTGCAATGACCACCGGGGGGCAGACACTCAACATAGGAGCTACCGAGTGACAGCAACTGTCTAGAGTGTCCCATTCCGGGACCTTTCGGGAGATGTTGGACTGCCAGTTTCATCCTGATCCCCACAGGCCAGGCCAAGGGACCCCACCGGTGCACAAATCCATGCACCAGGCCTCCAGTTATAGAATAAATAAGAATGAAGAAGCTAAATAGGCCTGCAGTGTCAGTTTCAGTGATGACATCTTGTTCACATATCTACTAAGTAAGAAGAGCCGAGTGAAAGGCATTAAACCAGTGTTCCCAAACCTCACTGTGTATTATAATCACGTGGGAAGCATTTGAAAATCCTGATGCCCACTATTTTACATAGCATGTTAAATCAGAGTCTCTGGGGATGGGACCCAGGCATGGGTATCTGTTAGGGTTTAGGGTAATAGAAGTAATAGTCAATCCCAAATATTCTTTAGGCATTCATTGAGAGAGCAAGAATCACCAAGAGAAATGGACTTTATGAATGCTTACCCATAAGCCTTTACTAACTTGCATATAAATTTTCCATTGTACTCTGCATCTTTGTCAAGGCAGATGGGATGATTAACCTTCTCTTCATAGTGAGAGATATCCAGGCTTCCTAAGTGAACCTCATTTCTGATCACAGAATTAGAATGTAGCATAGCTACAGGTGATGAATGTTGATTAGCATGAGAAACTAGTGGCTGTTTTCATAATTGCCTTGGAGCCATCTTTTTATGATTATAATTTTTATTTATTTATTTATTTATAATTTTTATTTTTAAATATATTTTTATTGATTTCAGAAAGGAAGGGAGAGGGGGAAAAAGAGAGAAAGACAGAGAGAGAGAGAGAGAGAGAGAGAGAGAGAGAGAGAGAGAGAGAGAGAGATATCATTGATTGGCTGCTTCCTGTATGTCCCACCCTGGATCGAGCCTACAACCCGGGCATGTGACCTGACCAGGAATCCAACTGTGACTTCTTGGTCACTCAACCACAGAACCATGCTGGTCGGGCCATGATTATAATTTTTAAGAGGCTCTATCTCACAGCAAGTTGCTCCAAGGATGGAAAAGTCACACTTTTTATAGTAATAAGGAATTTCCAGGCACTATAAGGAAAATGAAATTATAACACCTCTTTGGTTGTCTTTTACAAACACAGCATTAACTCAATACAATACCATTATGAAAATATAACGATTTAAGCCCTAGCTGGTTTGGCTCAGTGTATAGAGCATTGGCCTGCAGACTGAAGGGTCCCAGTTAATGGCATTACCTGGGTTGCAGGCTCCTCCCCAGCCTAAGTCCTATTTGGGGCTCATGTAGGAGGCAACCAACTGCTGTGTTTCTCTCACACTAATATTTTTCTCTGTCTTTCCCTCTTTCTTCCACTCTCTTTAAAAATCAATGGAAAAATATCAAGTGAGGATTAAAAAAAAAAAGATATAATGATTTAAAAATTTCATGAAATACTTTTGCCTGGTATTAAACACTCTAAAAGAGCATTGTGGGTGGGTGGGGGAAGTGATCTCTCGCTCTTCCCCAATCTCCTCTTCCTTGAAACAAACAAACAAACAAAACAAATACAAACAAAAATAAGTGCAAACAAGGAACTGCAAAATGTGAACCGATCCGGAACCAAGGGTGGATGGGTGCTAGGGTCTACCTTACAGTCCAGCCGACAGAGGCGCCCCTCGTGAGCTACCATATCCCCAGGAGCCTGCAGGAAATGTGGTCGGAAAAAGCGTTCCTGTAGGGGCTCCTTGTCTCTTTCTTGCACTCGGGACCTTCCCCTAAAACAACCAAGATGTTCAGGCATTAAATACAGAAACCAGTTTACAGATTTATGACAGTAGGCATGCAGGCATGACTATAGAGCCTGGAGAACTTTTTTTTTTTTGGGGGGGGGGAGGGCAGTGAGGGAGGGAAAGGGTGTTGCTGGGCCATAAACAAATAATAAATATAATATTTGTTAGTGGTGTGAAGCTCATGTAAAAAAAACCAAAGTGGTAAATATTTCATATGCCGTAGGATTATCTTGTGAGATCTGTAGTCAAATAAACAGGCTTTAGCTTCTTTCTCTCTGAAGTCATTCTGGGTTAAGTGGCTCAGCTCTTCTTGGGTTTGACCAGTTGTTCAAAAGTCTCAAAATAAATAAATGTCTCAGTATTCAAGTCGAACCTCAAATGAGATCCAAAAGAGAAGTCCTGTTTATTGCCCAGAACAAGATTGCTGCCGTCCGTGTGTCTCTGAGTAATAAGATTTGACCTGCTATAAATTATGGCAGACCATTAAGAGTATCATGAACTTACTGGTTCAGACTGACCAACAGTAACAGCTGCGAGAGAGAGAGGAGAGAGAGAGAAAGAGACAGGGAGAGAGAGAGAGAGAGAGGGGGGGGGTGGAGAGGGAGGCACGAAGGTATAATGCAATGGTGGTGAAATACTGTATCTGAAACATGAATCTCTATTTTTGTTTCTTTGGTAAGTCACATTTAATTCGTCCATGTCAGCAACCATGGAATGCTTTGCTAAGATTTTATGGCCTCTATAAGAGTCAAGGAAATGCCATGATTTTTCCTCTTAGTGGTTAGTAAAATCAGAGAAGAAGAAAGCCAAGAGATTTATTGGAGAAAATTGGCATATTGGAGACAACAACAATAGTCAATCTATATGCATAAAAATCATTAACAGTTTTTTCTTTATTAAAGAGAAAATGGTAATTTAGTCTAAAGATCTGATTTATATGTCCACAGTTGCCACTGATGGTTACAAATTTTGAAGTATCAAAAGTGTGCTATAGACAAGACCGGTTTGGCTCAATAGATAGAGCGTCGGCTTGGGGACTGAAGGGTCCCGGGTTCGATTCCGGTCAAGGGCATGTGCCTTGGTTGCGGGCATATCCCCAGTGGGGGTGTGTGCAAGAGGCATCTGATCAATGACTCTCTCTCATCGATGTTTCTAACTCTCTATCTCTCTCCCTTCCTCTCTGTACAAAATCAATAAAAAAAAAAAAGTGTGCTATAGACCAGTACTTCTCAAATTTAGTGTGCTTACGAGTCACCTGGGGATATTATTAAAATGTAATTCTGGGGTGGGGGGTGGGATTCTGCATTTGCAACAAGCCTCCAGGTGACACTGATGCTCCAGGTGAGGGACTACACATTAAGTAATGGTGCTTGGGAGGAGCTAGAGAAGGAAGATTCATATTGTCTTTACCTGTGAGACTGACCAGCAGATGTTAGTCGACTGCGAATAGGCAAACTTTGTACCATTAAGTGGCCAGAGCAGCTGATTCTCCCCTAAGAAAATGAACAAGATTAAAATAAGAATTATATATATTTTTTCAATTTATATGAGTTTTTCTGGACATGAACATCATGAACCTAACTATTATAAGTTTTCTTTGGGGGGATAAAAATATAATATGACTCCTTAAATCATTGTTCATATTCCAGGGGGAGGGGTTTTTAAGAACACTTTGATGACTTCCATTTTTAAGTTGAGAAATACAAAGAGCACAACTGAAAAAAAGAACTGTGCATTTAACATTATCTGCAGTCACACACAGAGATCATGGCCAAGTGTTCTTATACTTTCCTCAATAAAGATTACCTTCAAAATTAATATTTTAATAGAAAGAGTGGGTGAGAATAGAATTTCCTATTCCAATGGTAGTTGAACATATTTATTCAGCCATATCTTTTAGGAAAAGTTTAAGTTAATCTTATTCAGAAAAGGAAAGCAAAATATTATGGCCTTCTAGCTTTTACTCCCCCCCAAAAAAGGAGATTATGAGTTTGAGAGAGATTCACAAGATTTTGTGAAGTAATTTGCTTTTTCTCTAAATAACAAAAACAACAAATTCTTTGATAGATTAATTTGACTCTTCAGGAGATTCACTGAGTTGATATACACAAGCATAAGCCCAATAGGCCTGGGAAGTGTTCACAGTGAATAGATATCACTAAGGCCCTTTGACAAAGGCTGAGGGGTTGAGGAACCCAACAGTGGCTAACTGGTCTTCTAAGTTGCGGTACTATGCTCCAGTTACACACAATCACACTGCTCCTCATTCGTTTTCCTCAGTAATCCTTAGCAACTTGCACTTCTCAAGTTATCATTTATGACATCAACTGCTCCTTCCTCAGCATGCAGCAAAACTCAGCATCTCCACCTGGGGGTTGGCAGCCATGATGGTATAGTTGCCATCGTCATCACTAGTGGTGGACTCGATGTGCAGAGAACATGTCCCATCTCCTTCTCGCTTCATTTTGCAGTGCTCATTTCTCTTTGAAATCTGCTTCCCATCTTTGAACCAGTAGACCTGAAATAAAAGATAGTTAAGGAGGAAATACATTGTGCTGTACATCTTTGAGGAATAATGAAGTAGGGAGAAGGGAGAGGCAAGGGCTGATTCCCGTCTTTATAAATAACTCATCTCTTTTGGAAGTATGGTAGCAACCATACTTAGGTAAAAACTGCTGTTTGAGTTTTAACCCTGCTATTCTGGCTTCGGCACTCGCATTCTTGCTTAAACAATAGGGTAGTTGCCTCAGCTTCCAGATTGAGACCTGGAGGCTAAGGCAATTTTCCTGTGCCTGTGGACCAGGACCACAGGAGATTGATTCCCACTGACTCAGTAGCTTTAGGAGTAGAAACTGTAGATAACCTTTAGAGATTAACCGCTGAGCTCTGCTTCTGTACTATCTACTATCACAAGATAGGGCCACATTCCAATGTCCAGCAGGATGTGGCTGGGAATGACTCTGTGGGCTGTTCCCAGCATTTAGAATTTAGAATTCAGAACAAAGGAAATTTCTTGTGGTTTAGACCTTTAAAAGGACTGCCTACACCTGGAACAGTGCAGTCTTGTGGACTCCACCTGCGTGTGGTGCTCTCGTGGCCGTCCTGGCCAGTTCAATAAATCCTTGCCTGCTTTTTTTAATCAATCATCAGCCTCCAGTGGTCTTATTTTGGACCCAGGGCTCGATCCCACAACATTACAAAACACTTAGAAAAATTGTAAAACATATTAAAAACAGTGTGATATGCTCCTGCACTTATACAATGCTTAAGTTAAAAAGTCTATATAATTTAGGATAGAGATAAAGCTTTTGACTATTTTTATTGTACTTCATAATTACTTAAAAAGTTACCCTAAGACCAGACATGTTTTCAGAGATAAAGTAAAGAAAATCTGGAGCCTGAACTTTTCCCATTATTCTATTCCATTACAGGCTCAAGTCTTCTGCAGCCGCAGATCTCAGGACCTGGAATAGCTCACCTTGCTTGAAAGAATAGTGCGCTTTATTAATGCCAAGTAGAATAAGACCAGGATTCACTCACTAAATTTCTCATCTGGCTAAAATTTGAATATATATATTTCTCAGGTTAAATTCTGTATGTATCAAGGAGCTCCCTAAAAGAGGGGCAGGGGGTGGGATTTAGTACAGGTTGCAGCTGCCCTCCTCTACATTTTCTGGTTACCTAACCATACGTGCTAATTAGTCTTTGTGAAAGAAGAGTGGAGAGATCCCTTGCTGCAGCCATACTGGGTGTAAATCCTTCTCTCAGCCGACTGCCAAAAAATCTGATGACTCATAAGATTTTTCAGCAGCCAGTGATAATGACATGACATTTTTAGCATTTACCAACCTAACAGTAATGATACAAATATAGCTCACTTTGTACAACAACAGGCACACTGGATATTCAATAAGTGCTAAGAAATATATATCAATTTGGCGAGAGTGATGGTTGAGAGACTCAATAGCCCAAAACAGAGGATCATGACTAAGAAGGTTATTTTAACATTTTAATAAAATTCTAATTTACCCATAAGTCTGATTGATTTTTGGCTTACTTAACAATCCTATTCCTGACTGCCTCTTTTAGTCAAATTACTGGATTTTGTTAACTTTCTGGTATTTAAAAAATATATATATGTATTTTTTATTGATTCAGGGAGGAAGGGAGAGGAAGAGAGATATAGAAACATCAATGATGAGAGAGGATCATTGATTGGCTGCCTAATGCACACCCTACACTGGGGACTGAGCCCACAACCCAGACATATGCTCTGATGGAGAATCAAACCCTGACCTCCTAGGTTCATAGGTTGACGCTCAACCACTGAACCAAGCTGGTGAGGCTTGGTGTCTCCCCCCCCCCCAATTTTTATTTTATTGATTTTAAAGAGAGATAGGAGGGAAGTAGGGAGGAAGGGGGAGATAGAGATAGAGATAGAGATAGAGATAGAGATAGAGATAGAGATAGAGATAGAGATAGAGAAACATCAAATTTATTGTTTCACTTATATATTCATTTATTGATTACTTCTTATATGTACCCTGACCAGGGATCAATCTGCAACCTTGGCATATTGGGATGACATACTAGGGCTCTGGTATTAGATATTTCACTTGAGTCTGCTTAAATTTTCTTAAGGTAATGTCTGCAGTTCTGTGTTGTTGCTTTGCCAACTGGCTGGTCATCTTCCCTTACCTTTGGGATAGGTATTCCAACAATTTTGCAGGTGAATGTGACTGGAGAGCCTTCTGTGACTCGAAAGTGCTTAAGTCTTTTGTCAAAGATGGGAGCGATACACTTGCCCGTGGGGATCTCATCGTGTTGGATTTCATCATCAGACTCATCAACGGGGGTACGTTCCAAGCGGAATTCTATTTCATTCATCAGTCTCTGCTCAAAGCTGGAAATTTTGTATTCCTGTCAAAATGGCAAACATACTTCAATTTCTATGGGTGAGGTAGAAGGTGTCATTAAAACATGCTTCAATTTCAATTTCTATGGGTGAGGTAGAAGGTATCATTATAATTTGAAGGAACAACTTTTTATGGTTCAGATGTTAGATTTATATTGTGGAATCCCAATAAACCAGACATGTACCATTTCCAGTTTCTCCCCATGAGCACTAAAGGAGATTTCAGTATCTCTACTATAATCCCAAACTGCCTTAGTGAGTCCCGATTCCTCACCTTGAGCATGGAGCCCCAGTAGAATCCTGTAGGGAATGGAATGAAGATGGAATGTAATTTCCACAACTATTATTAATGTCCATTTCAATATGTAGAACTGCCTATCTGGTATTTTGGCAAAGCTTTTCTGAATTGCATTCTGATGTATGTCTGCATTACTGATGTCCTGATTTCTACTGAACAGTCCCATCTGCATACTTGAGGAAAATCTGTCTCGAATAAATCTTCCTTGACCCCAATTAGGTCTTCATTGCATCTCTCTGCTCCTTTCACAACAAAACTACTTAAAGCAATTTTATATTGTTATAGGATAATTTCCATGCCACATATTCTCTTGTTAACCTACACCAATTAGGATGGCATTCTCACTGTTCCACTGAAATTACTATTGTTAGGGTCTCCAAATTTGCCAAATTTAGTTGTCACTTATCTATTCTTACCTTACCAGACCTCTCAGCATCTTTAGATACAGATGGCTACTTTCTCCTTTTTGAAACATTTTCTTCCATTGGTTTTAATGACACCATACTGGTTTTCCTTCTCTTTCTCTGGCTGCTCCTCATCAGTCTTCTTTGCTAGCTCCTAGATAGGTGCTCTCATCCAATCCCTCAGCTTCAGATACCTTCGGTATGCTGATAGTCCTATCTCCAAGCCTGGTCTTTCCTCAGAACTCATATGCCTAATGATCTACTCTGTATCATGAGAGTCATATACCCAACAATTTACTCTACATCATGGGTTGGGTGCCCAATGGGCATCTCTAACTGAACACGGTCCAAACCATGTCCACTTGATTTCCATCTCCCAAGAGATACTGCTACCCAGCTCTTTGTCATCTCAGGAAATGGCATTAATACTCATCACTTGGTTAAGTAGTTAAGCCAGAGTTTCCCCACATTGTCTTTCCCCCTCATTTCTAAAAATGTCCAACCTGTACCTTTGTAAAAATGAATTACTAGAAAAATGAAAATTTAAAAGCATTCAAAATTATTATGTTTAATAGATATAAAATTTCTCTGTCAAGTTACATAGAAATTTCTTAACGATTATTCTCAATTTCTGTACTTATCCCAAGGTGGAGAGGGGACAGCTTGCAGATTGCCACAGGTCCTCAGACCACCCTTTGAGTACCCACTTAAACCCTAAATTTAGTACTTTTCCTCAATTCCTTTCACTCACTTCCCTGTTATATTCTATCAAGCTTAAATGTCAACTCCCTAAAGGAGCCTTCCCAGGTCACTTCATTTAAAGTAACTTGCCAGCTTGTTGAGCATTGACCCTTGAACCAGGAGGTCATCGGTTCAATTCCTGGTCACGGCACATGTCCCGGTTGTGGGCTTGATGCCCAGGGGGGTGTGCAGAAGGCAGCTGATGGATGTTTTTATCTCTTTCTTCCTCTCCCTTCCTCTCTATCTAAAAATCAGTGAAAACATATTTTTTAAAATAAAATAACTCTGCACTCTAATTTCCTGTCTAATACCAATTGCTATCTAGTATTTTTCTTGTTTGCTTGTTTCTTGATTGAAATATTGAATATCTCTAAGCACTGGAATGTTACTTTCAAAAGAACAGAGATATTGTTTATCTTGCTTACCACTAAGTCAGCACCTAAATAGTGAACACCTGCCTCATAGCAAGTACTCAGGGAGTATCTGAAGAATGAGTGAATACATGAATGAGATGGGGGCAAGCACTTGTTCCAACTCTACCACATCTTTGAGGAATCCGGAATTTGTTCTGATGATTTTATCAAGATGGAGCCTGATTTTACAGAATTTAAAATGTTTGAATTGGGAATTTAACACAAGGGACCACAGAAGCAATATGATGAAAACATGTATATGCTGTTATACTATAAATGCATACATACTGATTAAATATTTGTTTTACAATACTACAAATTGGGGGGATGATGAGAATAGGATATAATAACTCAGTGAATTATTTTTAAATAGGATATAATAACTCAGTGAATTATTTTTAAAATATTAAAATAATTGAGAGCCCAGAAATAAACCCACATATAAGGGCAAATAATTTGTGATAAAGGAGCCAAAAATAGAGAATGGCGAAAAGAAGCCTCTTCAATAAATGGTGCTGGGAAAATTGGAAAGCCATATGCAAGAGAATAAAACTAGACTGCTATTTGTCTCCATACATAAAAATTAAATAAAAATGGATCAATACCTAAATATTAGACCTGAAATAATAAGTTACAGAGGAGAAAACATAGTACTAAACTAATGGACTTAGTTTTAGAGAGTGTCTTATTAATTTGACCTCAAAGACAAAGGAAGTAAAAGCAAAAGCAAGAGAGTGGGTCTATATCAGACTAAAAAGCTTCCACACAGCAAAAAAAAAAAAAACAACAACCCGGCAACAAAACAAAAAGGCAACCAACCGAATGGCAGGAGATATTTGTAAACAACACCTCTGATAAAGCATTAATATCCAAAATATATAAATAACTCAAACAACTCAATAACAAAAAACAAACAATCCAATTAAAAATTGGGCAGAGGACCTGTATGGACACTTCTCCCAAGAAGACATACAGATGGCCAACATATATGAGAAGATGCTCTTCTCTAGCGATTAGAGAAATGCAAATCCACCTACAATAAGATACTATCTCACACCTGTTAGAATGGCTATTAGCAACTAGATAAGCAATGACAACTGTTTGAGAGGTTGAGGAGAAAAAGGAACTCTCCTTCACTGTTGGTGGGAATATAAACTGGGACAGCCACTTTGGAAAACAGTATAGAGATTCTTTAAAAACATTAAGGCAAGAGTTATCATATGACCCAGCAATCCCTCTTCTAGGTATCTATCTGAAAAAATTGAAAACATTTATTCATATGTTCATTATAACATTATTCACAGTGGCCAAGACATGGAAACAACTGAAGTGTCCTTCAATAGAGGATTGGACAAAGAAGATGTGGTACATATATACAATGGAATTCTACTCAGCTATAAGAAAAGATGGAATACTGCCATTTGTGACAACATGGGTGGATCTTGAGAATATCATGTTAAGCAAAATAACTCAGATGGAAAAAGTCAATAACCACATGATTTTACTCATATGTGGGATTTAATAATGAAATCACATTTTCAAAAGCATCCACTCAATAAAAATTGCCCAACATATAACACAATTATAAAATATTATACATCCCTGGGTCCACTGGAAATAAGAGACAGAAACACTAAGGAACTGGACCCTCCCTTCCAGCCTTGTTTCCAGTACTTATGCCACAAATTCCACAATATTTGGCATATGGTTTTGATTGAAATTGTATGTTTTATTTCAAAGTAGATTCTACCAATTCCCACGTTGGCAAATAAATCAAGAGTTAGGTTATTAAAAATGTAAACCTGCATTAAAAAAAACACATCACCTTATAAATGCAAAAATAAATGACTGGAATAAGAAAACAGTCTATCTTTCTTTTATTTGATGATCACATATGGCTTTCCTCTTCCTCCTTTAGTGTAAACACTTACTACTGGTAGTAAGCAAGGATTTGTACAGATTGAACCGCAGGATATTGCCTAATGGCTGCTTCACACGTTTCAACGATTGCAAAGATTGAGAGGAAATGGTGAGCAGACCTCCAGGCACATTGGATTGAAGGAGTCAGAAAAAAAAGAAGCTTGAACCCAGTTCCTTAAAGTCTAGAGCATCTCAAGCTCAGATATTGAACTATCTCAAAGATGTAATGGTGTCTGTCAAAATCAAGCTGAGGATTGCTCGAATGGGCCACAGACCATCTAGTCTCTCTCTCCTGCTTTGACATGTTCTGTTTCAGGTAAACACTTGTAAAAAGGTAAACGGAGTTAACTACGTGATAATCAAGAACTTGAGATCCACGTGGATGGAGTTTACTCTGTGACCTTCGGTTAACCTCACTGAGCATGTGATTTCTTTTGAAGAGTATGCATTTGCTTGGGGATGTTTCGGTTTGGTGCGCTTCTGGGCAGCCCCATGGCATTGGTGGGTGGGATGGCAGGGATCCAGAAAGCTGGACTCTTGCCCTACTTGATGCCTAAGCAAATGAAGATGACCTAGGCACCCGAAGAAGGTCTGAATGAAGCAATATTATTTTCCTCACATTGAAACAAACCACCTGAACCCACCAATCTTACCTGCTGGTTGGATCTGACATCACTGAAATTTATCTTTTTCCCCAAGTCTTGAATCACTGCATTCTTTGCTTCACGAATGTAATCATCGTTCATTGGCTGAGGAGACTTTGCATTTTTCCTCATTAGTCCTTGGGATGGTCTGTAAAATAAATTCACACCCAACACACCTGTGAAAAGCACTGGTCAGAGTAGAAAGGTCCAGAAATCAGTGTGGTTAAGATGGCAACAAGACAGCAGGAGTTGTTGTGTGCAGAGGTGGGGCACTGCACAGAGCATCTGTGCTAGTAGAAGTGTTTTCAACATTTTGATTACAAAAATTATTTAAATTGATCATGCCCTTTGCCTTAAGGTGCTCATTATCCCTGTTGTGTCTAATAAACAGGATTATTCAGGAATCCACTCAATGAGAGTCCTGGCTCAGACCAAGCTGCTTTGTATGTGTCCCTTCCTAACGGACACCTTTTAATGTGGAGAAACCTCAGGGACACTTACGTGGATGGTGCGCTTCTGGGCAGCCCCATGGCATTGGTGGGTGGGATGGCAGGGAGAGAAGGCAGGACGGAGCTGAGGAAAGCCACTGGGTTCTCAATCCGGCTGGTGGGGGAGACGGGACTTGGAGACACACAGCGGGGCTGAAACTGGTGTCTGCCAGCGATGGGAAAGGAGAGAGGCGGTTGTGCCGGCTCTGCTGGACCTGGAAGAGGGGCTGGCTCGTTGTGGACAGGAACTCCTCCTAGAGATTTGGTCTGCACGAAGGGGTGAGACACTAAGAGGCTCTCTTTGCTCACTGTCCTCTGCATGGTCTGGGGAGTGCTGCTCAGGGTGAACACCGGGGAGCTGGAACGGGCCGCGGCTGCCGTGGAGGCGTTGGCGGAGGGGAAGAAGTGCTTGGGCCGGCCCAGGCTGAACGACTGCGACGAGGGGCTCTTCACGGGCCTGCTGGGCGATGTCCCTGCTGGGGAAGCAACGGAGTTCAAAACACTCATGTGGAAGGGAAACTCCTTAGGAGACGAAGGAGATGGGTTCTGCAGCTGCTGCTGTTCCAGCAGGACCTGGTTGTGAAGCTGCTGGAGCTGGCTGGAGTCGCTGCACAAGAGAGAGGGAGAGAAGAGAGATCATCACAGGGCATGTCCTGCGGAATTGTCCACAGACAACCAGAGCCGCCAGACATCAGCGCATCAATTCCTTGGGGGTTGTCTCTCCTTCTTTCTAGATCTGTCTTATGGTCCGGAAGAAGGAGAAAGGCCAGTGCGATACATAACCCTGAGGCATCACGCATATTGTATTCTCTGTGTGGTGACTGACCCTGGAGTGGTGCAACCCAGCAGCCCGATGGTAATGTTTAAACATTAGAGAGAAGACATAGAAACAATGATTCTCTTGCTGGGAGTGCTCAAGGTCCTGGGGTGAACAGACAGACAGTATTTCAGCTTTGGGACCGAAAGCACCGGGCTACACGCTGAGGTGGGTCGCCCGAAGGGACTGCATTCTCTGAGCCAACACGCTGCTGCTGTATCCTTCACTCTGCCTCCTTTTAGGGCAAACCTGCGAGTCTCAATGTTTCTCACCCTCTCTTGACAACAGTGCTGTATGGGAAAGGTGACCGTTGGTCCCCATTCAGCCTAGACTGTTCTGAGGCTTTATGCCTGTTTTCCTAGCTTACTTAACAGTTTCTTCCAGTCTCAAAAATGTCATGGTTTAAAGGATGAATTATATGACCCCCCTATAAAAGTCTATGGTTTGTAAAAGTCTAATTATAAACATGGACTTAGATTTTTTTTTTTTGCTCCTAAACGAAAGTAAGTCAGACTGGGGGCAGTTTCTTCGTTTATAGGAGCCCGAGTCACAGAAGCATGACACGACTTGCCTCAATCCCACAGCCTATTTCACTCCTCTTAGTAAGCCAGTTATTTTTAAAGGACAAAGATGTCTAAAAGTCATACATGCAGAAAGTTATCAGGGCTGTCCAACTTTGCTGGTTAGAGACTCTATTCCTAAATGCATGACCATAGGAAGATCCACAAATGAGAGTGCAGTGTCCCAAGGCCACGTGGTTTTATGCTCTTTGGACATATAGGATGCTTCTGAAACACAGAAGGTGATCTGTCAAATAGGAGGCCTATTAAAAATGAAAGGTTTTGTATTTGCTTACCATCAAGAAAGTCAACACCAACAGCAGTTATGTTGAACCAGAAGGTTCTCCAAATCTTGATTTTTCTTTATTTTTTTAAAAATTTTAAAGATTTTTAAATTGTTTAGAGAGAGAGAAACATTGATGTGAAAGCAAAACATCAATCGGCTGCCTCCTGCATGCTCCACCCTCTTCACCCCTCCCCCTGGCATTGATCCTGCAACTTGATCATGTGCCCCATCTGGGAATCAAACCTGCAACCTTTTGGAGCACAGGTCAACGCCTGACCAACTGAGCCACACCAGCCAGGGCAAATCTTGATTTTCCTTAATTCTTGGAGTTTAACTTTTTCCTTTCCTTCATTAATATTTATGTTACATAATATATGGAAAAGTAACTTTACAAAATGCAGACCCATCTCCACTTTTCATTACTGCTGTCAAATGCCACACACTGTGCAATCCTTTGTTCATCTATGAAAACTTTGTCTTGAGTTAAACTAAGAAATCAAGAGTATTAGCCACTTGCCATGGTAACTTTCTTTTCCTCTTAAGAAGTGAGCTTTTAAACTGGGAGAATAAATTAATACAATTAAATATTAATTAAACCTTTTTGTTTCACAATAGGTGAAAGATTCAGAAATGAGGAGAAACAGAAATATTTTTGTGAGGCTATGCTAAGGAAAAAATATGTACAATTAGCATTGATTCTGCTGGTGTTGACTTTATCAATGACATAAAAATACAGAACCTTTACATTGTCGGTGAACCACATATTCGCAGGTCACATTCTGTGGCTGCTATAGCATAAACACAATGCTACATAGCTTTCAGGACATGTTTGTATTGCACTCTGAGAAAAATTTATCTGATGACTTTGCATAAGTATTTTATTATGGCTAAGGGTATAGAAAAAAATAGTATATGAAAAGGAAGTAATCTTGAAAAATAAGGGTGATAAAAAGAGGCCAGGAAGTCATTTGGTATTTATTGATTTTTCTTTTTCCTTAGTTCCCACTGAATGAAAACTAATAACCGCCAAAACCCGTTTGGCTCAGTGGATAGAGCGTCGTCGGTCTGCGGACTGGAAGGTCCCAGGTTCGATTCCGGTCATGTGCATTGGTTGCGGGAACATCCCTGGTGTGGGGTGTGCAGGAGGCAGCTGGTCAATATTTTTCTTTCATCGATGTTTCTAGCTCTCTATCTCTCTTCTCTCTCTTCCTCTCTGTAAAAAATCAATAAAATATATTTAAAAAGAAAAGAAAAGAAAACTAAGAACCAGTTGTTTTTACTTTAATATTCAAATAGCATGTTAGTACTTATCATTCAACGCAGTATATTAGATTACAGAGGTGGGTTTAAACCTTAATGATATATGAGATATAGTGTCAAATTGTTTTGATTATCTAAGAGTCTAGAAAAATTCATTTGAGAATAATGTCTCTTTTTGTTTGAACACTATTTCTCCCCCTCCCCCCATTTTATTAAATTCTATCTTGTTCAGAGGGGATTTAAAAGAGCTGTTTGGATTTGCTCATTCATTACATTAAGACAAGTCCATTATTTGATGGACTTTTATTGAATCTTCTATGTGTCTAGTTTGCTAAGTACTGTAGGAGATATAAATATGCCTTAGGTAGTATGAGTTATTCAGGGCTCAAAAATCTTACTATATGTACATGTAACACAAATCATCAGTGGTTATTTACAGATAATATATGAAATTCACTTATATTTAGTAATTAAGGTATAGCATTAATGAAAAAATAAAGGGAGGGAAGATTAATTATAAAGCACACCAGTTCTAAAATCCTGAGTAACCTGTCTATTTCAAACTAACAGCCTGCCATAAATTGCTATAAGCTCAGTTGCTCATTTATTGTTGCTGTAAGGATTTCTGAAATCAGCTTTATACCTCAGCTTTCTTCCTGTAGATTTATCAATTTTCTTGGGTTACTTGAAAATATCTCTTTTTTTTGCCACAACTTAAGCATTATGCTCAAGAATATGGGCTCTTCAGGCAAAGAGATGTAGGTCCTAATCATGGCTCTGCCACTCATTATTGTGTGGCTTTGGGAAATTTCTAGACTTTACTGACCCCGATTTCCCCCTAACTAAATAGGAAAAGTAATAGATATTGATTTTGTTGTGAGAATTGATAAATAAACGACAAAAGACAAATTTATAAGTGGTCAATAAATGGTGGGCATGCTTTTTAGTTTCTGAACTACAAATATCAGTTTAAAGATTTGTAAGATTGAAAATCAGATTCAGAATTAAAAGGATGCTTCGGAACACAAAAGAATTTCTCAGGGATTTTGAATTGTCAAGATACAATGCCAATGACAAACACAACAAAACAAACTTGGGATACTGTATCCAGTACTTTTGAAAGCAATTTTGGCAACAACAACTTTGGGCAGCATGTGCTGGAACCAGCTCCAGGTGGCTCTGTCCACAACTCATCCCTGGTCCCAGTTCAATGACCTTTCTTTAGTAGCTTGAAATCAGCCATGGTGGGAGGAAATTTATAAATGCTACCCTCAGGGCTTTCCTGCCTCTGCCCATTACTAAAACATTGGCCATCATATCAGTGATGAGGACAGTGGTTGGCAAACTCATTAGTCAACAGAGCTGCAGTTTGCCGACCACTGGATTAGGATAACTGATTCTGAGTAAATCCGTCTCCACCATCAGCTCTTAGCTGTGGTCTCAGCAATGGTAACATCGCTGGCGGCACATTAGAATCACCTGGATAGCTCAAAAGACAAACAAACCTCATTGATTTAGGCACCATGGCCCAGAGAGTCAATTGGCCTGGGAAAGGACCCCGGCATAGTTATCATTATCTTTTAAAATGCTGGTCATTGGTTCTTAAGCTTTAGTGGGCCCAAGGATTCTCCAGGGCTCTCGTTAAAACAACACAGGTTTCTGGGCCCCACCCCCAGAGTTCTAATTCAGTAGCTCTTAGACTGACTGATTCAGGGAAACAGACTTTTTAAAAAGAGTTTGACATTAAGACCCACCCATTTGCCGAAACCGGTTTGGCTCAGTGGATAGAGCGTCAGTCTGCGGACTGAAAGGTCCCAGGTTCGAGTCCGGTCAAGGGCATATACATTGGTTGCGGGCAAGACCCCGGTAGGGGGTGTGCAGGAGGCAGCTGGTCGATATTTCTCTCTCATCGATGTTTGTAGCTTTCTATCCTTCTCCCTTCCTCTCTTTAAAAATTAAAAAAAAAAAAAAAAGACCCACCCATTTGCTCTTCCTGCTGCTTGAAATGCAGACATGATGACCACACCACCAACCTGGACCATGAGGGGACCTAGAGAAGTAGCCAGTGCTAAAGACGGCTGAGCAGAAAGATAGGAGGCTTGGTTCTTAACAGAGCCACAGACAGTCTCTCTGATTCCTTAATTTAAGAGAAAAACAAACTCTCATGTGTTTAACCTACTGTTAGTTTGGGTTTTCTGCAACATGAAACTAAATCTAATCCTATCTGACATACATAATAGTTCCTAAACAGTCCTGGGATAATAAGAGGCAGTTTTCAAGGAGATTGTATGGGTTATTGTTCCCACAACCCCCTTCTCTATGAACTTCCACCCAAGCCCTACAGTTCTGTGATCCATTTGACTCTTTCTCCCTCCAAAAACAAGTCCTCTGCGCTTGACCAGGCTGGACCATGTTGGTATTTGGAATCCAGCTGTTGAGAACGAGTTAGTTAGCAGTGCAACTTGACACAAATCGGGATGGAGAATGGGACACATCATGACGGGCCAAGCCATAAACTGATAAATCTTCGAAGAGATAACAGTGGAGTGGATACACAAAGAGGAAACAAGGAGGCACTTCGGAAGTCAGGAAGTGAGAAGCGGACTGAGGCTGAACTAACCATGTGATCCCAGCTCCCAGTTCACCTTCTCTGTGCGGGGCCTGGCTGTTCCTGCATAAATCCCCACAATATCCTCTTCCTCTCTTATTCTTTTAAGTGGATTTCGGTAATTCTGGATGTGACTTGCTAAGAGGCATATTACATAACATTTCATTTTATTCCCTGCAATATGCCTGATGTGGTAGTGAGAAGAATATAAAATGAAACAATAGGAATTACTTGCAATGAACATCTTGTTGTCATCACTGAGAAACACATGATAGGAGTGCTGATATTGCAGATTTTAATGTTGATATTTAAAAATTTATATAATTACAAACATAATTTTTATAATTTAAAAAATATACATTTTATTGATTTTTTACAGAGAGGAAGGGAGAGAGATAGAGAGCTAGAAACATCGATGAGAAACATCAACCAGCTGCCTCTTACACATCCCCCACTGGGTATGTGCCCGCAACCAACGTACATGCCCCTGACCGGAATCGAACCTGGGACCTTTCAGTCTGCAGACTGACGCTCCACCACTGAGCCAAACCGGTCTCAGCAATTTTTATCATTTTGATGTGTGGCTCAAACAGAACATAACAGTAGTATCATGTTCTGTGTTTGCTTTACTATGGATGAACATCATACATTGCAACATGTCTCTGGCGAAGCTGGAATATTAATAGTAAGGATGATAGTGATAGTATACTTAGATTGGTATAAGGATGTATGGTTTTTAAAACATTTAAAGCATCTTTTCTGCCCTAGCTGGTTTGACTCAGTGGCTAAAGTGTTGGCCTGCAGACTAAAGGGTCTTGAGCTTGAGTCTGGTCAAGGGTACATGATCGGGTTATGGGCTCCATCCCCAGTAGGGGATGTGCAGGAGACAGCCTATCAATGATTCTCTCTCATCACTGATGTTTCTCTCCACCTCCCTCTCTTCCCCTCTGAAATCAATAAAAATATGTTAAAAATAAAATAAAGCATATTTTCTCATTTTGCAATTCCCCTTTCAGCTCCATCATTTTGAAGAAGGGAAGACTCAGAGATGCTCTCAGGCACTTGGTTATCCATTCTAGTTTTTACTTACAGTTTAGGTTTGGCCAGGACTGGTGGGGGCTCTTTGACAGGTGAGGACGGCTCGGGGAGTTTTGCTGGCTGTACACTGAATCTCTCCAGGAAAGAATCAGGCCTGGTCTGGTTGGCAGTCATTGTGCCACCCTCAGGAGATGCTTCGTTTCCTTTGTCATCTTCGGGAAGGTTGAAGTGTACTCGGAGCCCGATTCTTGAGCTGGACCGGGGCTCGTTGTGGTTCACCAGAACCCCTTCGAGTTTGGGTTTAGGGGGCTGTTCCACAGAAGGGGGCTGTGGGTTGGGTGGGGATGGCTGCTGCTCAATCACAGCCAGGTTGGTGATGGAGTTGGCTGAGTGAAGAGACCCATTATTTCTGAGGTCTTCATTTCCTGAAACAATAGGACCTCAGCTGTTATCTTACTCAATGAGACTGAGATCGGGTTGTAACCCGAGTTGGGGCATGTGTCCAAACAGATGATTTTGCAAATGGGAAAAAGCTTGTCAAAAACAGAGAACATAATCTGGGGCATTAAAGAATGGCGAGGATACAGGAAAAAAGTTGAACTAGAAATTTAAGTACTGTTTTGGAAAGGATATTAGTAGTTTATATAAAACCAAGGAGATGTTTTCTTAGGGAGTGTAATACATAACAGTAGGACAACTGGGGTGGTAGTGGTGGTTATAAATGCAGCAAGAAATTGAAAATTGGATATTGTTCAAGAACACTTTCCTCAATAATTCAATTTTTAAAAGAAGAGCCACGGTAGCTTTGTAAGAAAAGCAGTAAGAAGGAAAATATAAACTTTCCATACTCAAGTCATGGTCTAAATTGTTCTGACATGTAAAGAGCCCTTACCTCTTACATCCAGCTGTGCGATGCTTGACACTGTGCCGTATTTGTTGCTTGCAGTACATGTGAAGCACCCAGAGTCTTCTGCAAATACTTCAGCAATGACCAAAGTACAAATCTCCTCTAAAAGCCAGCAAAACAGAACGGTTACTGACGTAATTATGAAAATGGAATTATGCAATTCACTATCAGATAGTTTTTCTATAAAAGTCAATGTGAGATGTTGATTGCATTAGTTGTTTGAAAATAATTAGTCCAAACAATTATTTGATTGAATGAACTGATTAGGAGCCTAAACGAATGGAAGCACATAGAACAAATAACTCCACACAGACAGATTATTGGCAAGAGAATATTATGATGACATATTATATATTATGGATTCTCATAATTGTCTTCTATATTTATGTCACCAGTTCACATGAGGAAATAGAACTGAGGAACAATAAACTTTTAAAAAATCACAAAAACAACTTAGGAGTTAAGGCAAAAGGAGATTTGTATGAAATAAAAGGATTAATAAAACATATTTTAATCCCAGATTTCTCACTATTTATGTGAGGAACTTTTGCAGTTAGGTAATTTTAAAGGAAGGCCACAATTTAAAACTGGACAATAAATATTTTGCTTAGTGAAATATTTGAAATCCTGGGTGAAAAACAAGAGAAATGCATTTTTCCCCATTATAATACTATGGTAATTCTGTTGGATTACTCCAATACACAGCTTGAACCCTCTTTTGAATAATTATAGAAGTGATTTCCAAGTAGAACCATATGCTTATAGCCTAAAGTTTTTGTAATCAGATATTACTTGGCAGCTAATGAAAAGATAACTAAGACAGTAGCATAAACATCCAGTTATCACCCAGTAGACCTGACATTAAAAACAAAATTAATAAAAGCATAGCTGCTTTAGGAGACACTTGGCCTCTCAGTGTTTCACGATAACTGAATTTAATTAGCTGGACAACCGCTGGGAAGGCTGCACAGGAAGCCAGGGCAGACAGCATTGAGCACCTGCTCAGTAACTACATCCTCTTCCCTCCTTACTTACTGAACCCTAACTGTTTGCCCTCTCTGGAGTGTCCATGTGCTTTAGTCAAGTTGGCCTTGTCCAGCCTCAGCTGGTCATGCTAAGCCAATCCTGCTAACTCTATTCTTGATAAGTGATGCCATATGACACACAATTCTGGTCAATGAGATATTAGGGAATTTCTGGGAGATATTTTCTTGTTCTTTACACAGACAAAAGAAAGTGTTATTCCATATTTTTCTCTCTGAATATTGTCAGCTGCATATAATATCCATAATGATGGCAACTGTAATGGGTATATGAGTGGAACCAGCCTAAGAAGACACTCTGAATGGAAAATGGAAAAAAAAGATTGGCCCTGATGAACTCTGAGATGCTAAATTAATCAGTTTCAAGACTGCTACTTCTTAGGGCATTTTGCTATGTGAGAAAATATATTTTTTTTCTTATTGCTTAAGCCACTTTTAGTTAGGTCTTCTTTACTTGCTGCCCAAAGAATCCTAAGTGATAGAGAGGCAACGTTTGCTGTTGGTGCCTCTCTATCCTTTTTCTGAGCCCTTGGCCTAAGCTTCCTTCTTTATGTTCCCCTTTACATTCGTTCTTCCTTTTTCAGCCACCAGCTCTCAGAAAATGATCTGATAAATTCACTCACACTACACTATATCTGCCTGCTAAGATAAAGCATTCTGTCTCCAAAGGGTACTTACATTATACAAGGTGGAAGGAATACCTCTGGCTGTGAAGGTTTAGATCATGGAGCTGGGGAAGGCAGGATTTGTTTTGGGCAGGGACATCTTTTGAGCGACTCTGAAAGTGTTTTGTATATGAGACTGCCTAGTGAAAACGCTTGCTTTGGATGAATGTATTAAAAGCCTGAAATATTTTCAAGGGAAAATACTTCTCTACTAGAAGAATGCAAGAATAAGGACCCTCTGGTTTTTATTATGTATCCCCATTGTGAAGAGCTATGCAACATCTACTTCTGGAATGCCTTCCCATTCAGTTTTCTGAAGAGAGTTATAAATTCCAAGCCCTCATTCTTACCTGGGGGTAAAAATACAATGGGATATTTCAGGGTGATCACAAGGAGGACATCCAGATGTTTATACTTTGATTGTGAGTGACTTGTATTTTTTTGGAGATAAGAGTTTCACCTACTTTCATATCATCTTAGTATCCTTCCAATCAAATCTAATACTATCACATTTTATTGATTCTTCAAATTTCATTGACATTTTATTGATTCTTCAAATTTCAACATTTGATGCATAAGTTTTCAAAAATATAGGCTGTGAAATTGGACTTAATCTAGCATTATAGAAATTGTTCTGCCCAGTTTTGAAAGGTCCTGAGAAGGGGTCAAGGGAAGAGGGAAGATATTCCTAAGAAAAAATCCTCAATGCCAGAAACTAACTGCATTCACATTAGGGATTGAATACATATTCCAAATTTTCACATACTCGCCTTCTTTCATTCTTCTACAATAATAGCTAGAGTTGGTTTGGATCATTTCCCTAAAATTTTATTTTTCACAAACCCATTGTAATTTCAATATGTTTTGTTATATATATCAAACCACTGATCACACACTAATAAATTAAAATTAAAATGTTCTTTACCCGGCTCTGCCATGGATCGAGGTTCTAGAAGAAAACAAATTAAAAGACTCTTAGAATTCATTTCACTGATAGATTATATTTTCAACAGAAGCTTCCTATAAAATTTCATAGTCACTTGCATACTCATGAGTGATTTTTTAAGGTTAAGCTACAATGTTAAGTAAAAGAAGCTAAGTGCCAATGACCTCCATAGAGACACGATTGTTGTCACAGAGGGCAGCAAGAAAGCTGCTAACTAAATGATGTTGCTGTACCTTGAGACACATCTGGGTTCCAAGTAGGTGAGGAGGAAAAGTTACTGAGTTAGCTGGGATTCAGGAACGACTGGCTTTTACTGATACCCATTCAGCCTTACCTGGAAAATGTTTGTGCAGACTGAGAGATTATTCTTGGTTTGGGATTCTCATATTCTAATAAAATGTAGAATATACCTTTAAGGTTTCAAATATCAAAAGCCCCAGGATGGATGACAGATTCCATGAGAGCTGGTCCTTAACCTTAAAATTCTTTATTATTCCTGAAAGTGCCTGCTGGGTACTGCATACAGGTGTTCAATTAGTGTTTATCAAATTGCAGGCACTCAGTGAGTAGCTGTTGACCTTAGTTACAATCTTCTACACGGATAGAATATCGAAGTATTTTTCTCAGTTTCAATGGTATTTGGAATATATTATTGTTGCTGCTACTGCTGTTAAACTTGATATTACTTTGATTTATATATCATATTGATCTAAGTACTACTATTTTGTGATCGACAGAAACAAATTAACATAAAAGCAAATAAATTTCAATGTATTTAATGCTGAAATGGGTCAAGATGAAAGCACTTATGTGACAAGGAAAGAATAATTAACCACTTCAATATATAAATAACTCTTACAATAAAAAATAAAAACTTAATATAAAAAATGAGCAAAGGATATGAATAGGTAATTTAAAAACAATGAAATACAAAGACCAAATAAATATGAAAAACAGTTCCACCTCACATCTAATTAGTGAAGTGAAGATCAAAAAAAGTATTTCCATTTGGGGCCTATAAAATTAGTGAAGATAAAAAATACTTAATCCCCATTGTTAGTGAAAGTTGTAGTAAAATAGAGGACCATGTGTGTGGTTTAAAACAAATCTGATTTATTCCTGAGATCTCTATCTAATTATTAATAGTACCCTCTTTCACACCCCTAAGTGTCCCAGATTGAATGATAACTTATGTGATCATCCTTAGTTTCAACCTTTAGGGATGACATTTTGGCAATATACAGGGGTAGGCAAAAGTAGGATTATAGTTGTTCATATGGAAAAAGACACACAGGTTATGATGATTACAATAGCTTTGTTAAATTTGTGTTGCAGGCACTCACAACTGTTAAGCTACTTTGCCCACCTCTAGATATTAAATGTCTAAAAAATGTGAATAAAAAATAAAAAATGTGAATTTACAGTAGTAATTCTAGTGCTTTATTTTTATATTCTCAAAGATTTTTCTGTTAACATTCATTGAAGCATAGTTTATAATAGTAAAAATTTGTGAACAATCTAAATGTTCAACAATAGAAAATTAAATAAATATGAAATTGATTGTATTGATCTAATTTTTTAAAGTAAGAAGGACCTATATTTATTAACAAGGAAAGATGTTCCTAAAATGTTGAGTGAAAAAAATTAATTTACAAAAAAGAGTATGATTTACAGTTGACATACAATATTACATTAGCTTCAGGTGTACAACCCAGTGATTAGACATTTATATAACTTATGAAGTACTCACCCCAGTAAGTCTAGTATCTATTTGACACCATAAAAAAAGAATATAATTTATTTTTATTAAAAAATATTCATGGGTAGACACACACAATAGGGTGGTGAAGGATTGTGGAAGTTGGGGGTGGGGGGTGGAAGTTGGAGAGGGGAATGGGAGAAAAAGGGGACATATGTAATACTTTCAACAATAAAGATTTATAAAAAAAAAATTCATGGGAAAAATGTTGGAGACTATACACCAAAATATTAATAATTGGGTTTAGATTGAGGGATTATGATTACAAGTGATTTTTAGAATATTTTTATTATATTTAAATTAGTTGTGAAAAATTATAAAAATAAATGCCTACAATACATTTATAAAAATTAATGATCAGAAAAATAATTCTGAAGCATCAACTTACTTTTCTGTAAGATTCTAAAATCTGGAGAATCTTCTATCAAGGTCCCTTCTCTGTACCACTCAACTTTAGGAGATGGAGCTCCTTTCACTCTGCATTCAAAGACAACCAGCTGACCCTCCGAGGCAGATAAATTTTGTAACATCTATAATGAGAAGAACATTATTAGAACCCAAAAGTGTACATTTTTGAGAACTAGTTCCAGTACTAAATTTTTTAAAAAGATGCCATTGCCTCTGTATTTGGATTTTCTCCAAATCTACATCTCCAGCAGCTCCAGTTTAGTTTACTCTTGAATACATGTTTGAATGAAGGTTCACTCTCTTCTTTCTTTTCTTCTCTGTGCCAGACAAGTTTATTAAATATTAATACTAGACAAAACATTTCGAAGGGTTCCAAAAATACTACTTTTTTTAGTAAAGTACTTCTGTTCTTAAATGCTCAAATAGAGTTTGGTTTTCAGAAATAATAACAATTTTTAAAATCTGCAGTGAGTATTTACTAGGTATACTTGGCATAAGAGTAATATATTTTTTTTTCCACAGAAGAATATTGCTGTCCACAAGGTGTAACATCTCTGTGGTCCGGTCCAATGAACTAACTGTTTTCCTGGCTTTACCTTATTTACATTCTGTTGTCCTGGAAATTGACTTTGTTTGCTATTTTGTTTTCTTTATGTGTTCTTTACAGTATAGCTTCAGCATCTATGCAGGAATATAAACTCTGACAATCTCTATAAATTAATAGTCATATGTGTAGTCTTAGGTCATGATAAATATCTTGTAATTTTGTGAAGCTGTCATTAAATATTTTTTCACACTTCCATAAAAAAAAGGTTTACAAAAACCACTTTGAACTGTAAAATATCAGTATATTTCATAATAGACTCTATGAGAGAATGGAACTCACATTTTCTTTTCACATCTAGTCTTCTACTCACCAAGATTTGTGAATCTAAAGTCACACATTCATTTATGTAGTAGGTGCTTCATTTGATTATGAAATGTTTCTTTGGCATGTGTGTGAGCATGTTTTTCTTTTTAATTTTGGCCCAAGTATTATAAACACAGAAAGGTTATGATTAACTTCCTCCACAAGCTCTTTTTAGTAACAAATGCTACAAGGCTTTCTATTATTACAATTTTTGGATCTGCAACTAGGAAATATTGGTTCTTGCTTCAGGGAAGGGAATAGCTATTTAAAAACATATTTTTTTATTGATTTCAGAGAGGAAGACAGAGAGAAACATCAATGATGAAAGAGAATCATTGATTGGCTGCCTAATGTTTGCCCTCTACTGGGGATGGTGCTCTTAACCTGGGCATGTACCCTTAACCGGAATCAAACCCAGGACCCTTCAGTCTGCAGGCTGACACTCTATCCACTGAGCCAAACCAGCTAGGACAGGTTGGCTAGTTTTTATATGTTTATTTGTTTCTTTTTTGTTTTTATCATTCACTCTTATAAATATTTTGTGATTGTTTATAGCTCTTGTATGAACAATTTATGATATTTTGTGCATGGCCATATCATATTTATAGCATTTGTTTAAGGAATACAGGGGTGGGAATAACCACCTAGCTTCAGCTACAGTAGGAAACTTTTCTCTCAAGGGGTGTGTAAGTTAACATTGGGACAGCCAGGGGGCGATGTAGTTCAAAATTAGTGCTTTGTTCTTTGCGGTTTCCAAATTTGTTTGCTGAAATAATTCAAGATGGGATCTGCAAAGAGTGGTTTCTAAATTAATAAGGAACTACTTGATTAAAAATCTTGTTATTCCTTGTTCACCCTAAACAACATCCTCTGGTGACAAGAATGGAATACTCTAAGTAAGCGGGGAACATTAACAATTCTTGAGTGCTCCTGGCAAGCTGGTGAAAGTGCCCTCAACCCTGACATTTGAGCAAATTTTATATTTAAACGGAAGCTTTGGGGCCTATTGAGTACTATGGCAGTTAGACATCTCTCTGGGATTCATATGCTAGTATAATGGGGTTTCATTCCTTCTTGAGGCAAACAAACTAGAAAAACAAACAACAACAACAACAAAGATGGTGATGGCAGAAGGGATTGAATAAATAAAATATGGCACATTTAAGAAATAGATAGAATCAGGATGAGGTCAATCTACGTGTTTTGACATAGCTTACAGTGCAGTTCAGATATATAAGCCATTTCTCAATCTGCAGAGGCCACACCAAAGCCCTGTTTGCAAAAGGACCTCCTTGAGAGAATATGTTGCTTACAACTGAGACCAACATTATTGTTATGATTCACTAGACATTGACAGCCAAGACCTGTGTTCTATAGCAGAGTCCAGCCACGATACCTGAGATATTACAGTGTCTGGGACATGCCCACTATATGTCTGTGATATAAGATGGAAGCTCATTCCAGTGTGACATGTCATCAATACTCCATAAAGGAAGTGCCAAGGGTCATCGTACAAATCACTTAGAAAAAAATGATTGGAAGTCGTGGATTGAAGGACAATGATAGCTGTTATTGCTGAAAACTGCTCTTCTACAAAAGTCTCATGGGAAGGAAATGGCACACATCACCACATGTCAGGGTCCGAAACAGTTGCACCAATTAAACATAGTACAGATGGTGCCATGTTCAACACAGCAGTAGGTCACGGGCTATTACTAATGGCACAGTGTGTTCACTGTGTACAGACATGATCATAATTATCAGGATTTCACTGATGACGAATTAAGGCAAATGAAACATTCTCCAACTAGCAAAGGTTAAGTTAGTCTTAACTAGGAATTATAGATTGAACTAAAGTCACGATAACCAATGTCTTTAACTTCTTATCCAAAGTGCAAGTCCGTCTGTGTGTCATGACCATACTGATCATCTGGGAAGACGTTCTTTGCAGGGTAACTTGACTACCCAGAGTTTTGAGACTACCAGTCTTCCATGGCCATTTGATATTGGATTTCTTTTTCTTTATTCCCCCCAAAGACACTCAGATGCCACAAAGCGATGAAAGCAATGATACCTTCTTAGCTGAAATGGAAGTTATTCGCCACAGAATAAATGTTGCTATCTGCCTGCTTTGTGCTGAGCTCTGTGTCACGTGCTGCACAGTCCTATAAATACAACGCTGTGACATCTTGAGAAAGGGCGTCTTCCTTAATGGTTGAAAGATGTCAGCTTCAAAGGTTCACATTGTCATTTTCTTCCCATTTTTCAATCCAGCTGATACTTTGCACCTTGGAAGAGGCTGCAAATGAATGTTCTCAGTGCTTTCGGCTGGAATTGGATCAGCGTAGTTTTTACTGATAAAGAACTGTTTGTCTGAAGACTCTTTTGCCCCTCGCTTGTCAGAGGTATCCTGAAACAGTGAGTCCGAAAAAGCCTCCGGAATATCAGGTTGGGGAGAGGGGCCCGTGTAATCTTCAGAAATCGGGATCCTGTCACTAGTCCAGTTTCAGGGTTTCCTGCCTCTGATATTATATAAGGAAGCACTCTTCTTCAAATTCTCACTTCCCCTGCCCCCTTCGCTTTTCAAATGACTGCTGAAGCAGCTGGAGCCAGGGCTGCTGCAGCCTTGAAAGTCCGCCAAAGCAGCTGCTGCTGGAGAGGGAGCAGCGAGAGGAGTAAGATTCTAATTTGATCGTCTACCTCCCTTCACACTCAAGAAGTGTGAGCACAGTTTCCCCTCAGAAATAGAGTGAAAGTGTTTTTTGACACCGTATAGAGAATGAAGGATCGCCTAGCTCCATAAAATATGTTAAAACATAGGTGTCACCTATCATCAGAGCAATGAACTAACAGAGAGAACCCCGGTCTTCTCTCAAGCGCGACCACTGTTTCGTTGGGCAGCCCTCCTTTTCAGTTTAACAGTCTTTAAAAAGAAGGTAATACCAGCAATTCCCTGTCACCAAAGAAGGCACAAGGAGTTAAATGAAACTCTGCCTCTCTGAGGCTTTTTTAAAAATTGGCTTCCTGCCATTACTGTATTGGCAAAGACATGCTTTGCTGGGCAGTATAGAAAGTGAGTCATGGGGGTTGAAATGCCTGAAGTTCCTAACGAAGTACATAGAGCAGAAATAACCCAAATAAACATATGCAAATGATCAGTTATCAGGGCTCATGCCGCGTGATTACCATCACCAGCGGCTCTGACTCAGACATTTTCTAACGACACTGGCAGTGACTGTGACCTCAATCCTGCCGGTACTGATGGAAACTAACGTAAGCACGCTGCCACTGATAAGTCCCTCTGGAATCTGAGTCACAGCCTATCCCGGTGCCCTACGTCTGAGCAATCCTGGTCCATTTATGGAGGCAAAGGCATACATCTGAAGGCTGAGAGAGCCTCATCAGAGTTTGGGTCTTTGTATAAGGGCTGTTTTTTCCACTATGGATCTAATGTTTTTGGAGATTTATCTAACCAACAACTTATATACTAATGATTATTCATTTTCCCATTTTTATTTATCAAAGGCATATATATATCAGCCAATCAGAGTATCTAATTAGAAGTTCATCAGAGTCGCCACACAAAGACAGCTAAACCTGTTACTCTAACCAGTCCATGAAAATGCAATGTAAAGAATAAGTGTTGAAGTCCTACTGTACTGTTTGGAACAATAAAAATGACTTTGGACCTATTATTACCTTTATGGACTCCTATGCTGATATTAGAAATAGGCTTCAAAGTGCTTGGGAGGGACAGAAAAGTAAATAGTTTTATTATTGTGCTGAATGTTGTACCAGAGGTCTGCACCAGGTGACAGATGCAGGGAAGACAGAGCACCTAGGAAGATTTAAAAGTGAGTAGAAGGCACTCACTGATCTCTGGCTGGGCAGCTGGTAGTAAGGAAGAGAAAAGAGAAGGAGATTTCAGTTAGGACTAGGTACATATTATTCTGTGATTTAGTTGCTTTTGAAGAGTCAGCACTGTTTCTTGGGTGTGACAAAGTGTCCTGATTTCTGAGGCACTTAAGCTATATTTTAAGGCTAAGTGACTCAGCTGTGAAATAAGAGATGATTACAGATAGCTCTATTAGCTATATCACACACACACTCACACACGTCCATTTATGACTCGTCATCAAAGTCTTGTATTTGCCAAGTCACAGCATGTTTCTTTCCTATGTCACATCTTTGAAAATAGCAATGCTGAAACATCAAAAGCAGGTTACAAGAAGTGAATCTGAAAAATCAAGAGGCATCTTGTTTTCCATATCAATGTTGACTCAACTGATATGGAATTGGATAAGCATGTTTCTGTCTAGACTTTAATTGATTTTGGAAAACCATCTTGGATGAGCTGATATGGTGGGCACCTCCCTAAAAGTGATGTCTGTGAAAGTTGTGAATTTAGCTCTTTCTTTAAGGTCAGTACTCATTGGGAAAGACACCATTTTTGACATTTTGCTCTACATCATGATGTCTCAGTCCCAAGACTACTGGCAGTTTGGTCTGGATAGGTCTTTGTTATGGGAGGCTGACTTTCTATCCATTGCAGGGTGTTCAGCAGCATCTCTGGATGCCAACAACACAATGTCCCAGATGTGACACTTAAAAATGTCTCCATATATTGCCAAATGTCCACTGGGGGTAGAGTGGGGGAGGGAGGGGAATTAACCCTGACTGAGAACCCATTTCTCCAAACTAACGCATACTTCTGAGAGGACAAAATCTCTTTGGGCCCAAGTTAGCATTGATACAAACAATAAATTATAAATCCAGTCATAGATTCCATCCATGTAGTCTTCATAATACCAAATAAAAATCCAATATCACTCAATTTTTTACCTTTTAATTTGTTGCCTTATAAATCATATAAACAAAGTCAATGCTCTCTAAGGGGAAAAACAATTGAGTGAGAATTGGGAAAACATGTTTTTAGTCCTGATTCTGACACTAATTCTGTGACTTTGATTAAATTGCTTACTAGTAAGCTCTCTGGCCCTCCCTTATTTTTTTTCCATTTATAAATGAAAGTGCTTAAGTAAAATTTCCAGTTCTAATACAAAAACTATGAGACTCAGGATTAATGCCACCACAATAGTTGATACCAGGCAATAGAAAAATAGGACTCTATCTTACAGTAAGGTTTTATGTTGAGTCTCCTAAGAACATCTACTCCATCTCTTTGAATGCCAAAGAGACTCTTTTGGTGCAATTCAATTCTTTTGAAAGCCCTTCCAGAGAAACCTTTGGCATATAAACGGCTAGAAACTTGTCACCTGACCCCTAGGTGTGGCTATTGTGTTGAACAGCAACAGGATGCCATAAAGAACAATGTGGTTGGTGGAGAAGACATTTCTTTCATTACACAAACTGTTATTAGAAATCTGAGACTTGAATGACATGGTAACAAATACTAAATTCTGAGATAAAATCAGTAAATATTGGGTCCTACAAGTTTGTTTGGGTATTATAGTATATTTAAAGCCATGACAGAAAGAAATAATATTTTCATTACCTTTGTAAACACCGGAGCTGCAATGATAGGTTTTCCATCCAATCCTTGCAAATAGTTAGTAGGGCTCCGACACTGTTAGAAGGGAATGAACAATAGATTCATTGTCACTAGCATTACTAGATAGATAGATAGATAGAACACATTTACAGAATTTGGTGTGTATGTGAAATTAATCTAAAACCAAAAGACTGACATTTTCTAAATCTGTGAATTATAGACTTCAAACTTTATACTTAACTGATTGTTTTTTTTTCTAGATCATGGTTACTGCCTCACATGTGTAATTAACCCTAAATCCTGAAGAGCTTCCATAGAATTCCTGAGCCTCCACAGACCATAATTTGAAAAACTACTGGATTGGAAATAAATGTGACCCCTGTGCATTACTCAATGGGTTAAATAAGCAACTGTTTAAATTTTAAATGGTTTTAAGTCAATAATTATATCAAACATGTAACAAATATATTTAGAATAGTATGATTTTTATATTTTAGAAGTACATGCATACATATATTTTCATATATATGCCTAGAAAATGCATGACACTATCTGCTAGAAACTATTAAAAGAAGGTACCTCTGAGGAGTGGGGGCAGGGGAGTAGAACCTTAACTAAAGCTTTTACTTAGTATAGCTTCTTCTCTATTTTTCCAGTGTTTTCACACTAAGCATGTATTAGTATCATCATTATCATCATCATCACCATCATCTTGAAGGATGAGAGCCTTTAACATATTAAAAAAAAAAACAATTTCATGGTTGCTCCCTTAGAAAGTAGAATTCTGAGTGTCTTGGGCCATTGAGTGTAATCAATACTCTAATGCCAATAAAGCTGGAATATTAGGGACTAATTTATAAAGGGTCTCTATGAAATTGCCCACGAGTTAGAGAGTGCGTTTCCAAAGTAATAGGAACCATGATATCCTACATTAGAAGTACAGATTATCATGATCATGGAAATGAATTGCCCAAAGTCATTATGATGATGCAACAGAGAAGGACATGATCATGCCATACAAACGGTCATGTTCACAGTGCCTGCCTGTCACAGACTATGGCACTTGTGTTTCCCTTAGACTTTTGTACCTGTTGGATGGTTGATACACTCGGCCGAGCCACCACATGCTGGGCTTGGGGTACTGCTGAAGGAATGGCTGCAGAAGTAGTGGGAGGGGGTGACACCTCTTTTGGCTTCTGGATTCTGAGAAATGATTAAAACTTTTATAAAAACAGACCTATCGTTGCTTGTGAAAATTCTTTCAGCAAAGTTAGTAACGCTATCCCTGCTTATAGTTAGATATAATACACGTCTTTGGTCAACAAGAGTCCACAGGCCATAAGGGCTTCTTTACTACACACTTTATTACATGTAAACAGAAAGATGATATCATTCCTGTCCTTGTGTTAGCTGCTCTCAGTCAAGCTGGGGACTTGTGCATATTCACAACTGAGAATCCAGACGAGTGCTATGAGGAGCATGTGCAGAAGATAATTTTTGGAGATTTGTTTTGCCCTCTGTGTTTTCCCTCCCCCATCCATTTCAAGTAAAAGGCCAGGCTTTGTAAATCTTTGCTTCTGGGATTTGAGCATGGCAGAAAGCAGAAATAGCCTGAGCTCTTCAAGTTATACAAATTAAAGGGATTATTTGAAGGGCAAGAGAGCCAAGAAATATTCTTGAAGAGGCTGCAGAGGGAAGATTATTTTAGTTTTGTGGATCTTGCCAGAGAACTTGAGTCCAGAGGGGATGGTAACACTTATGATTAAAGAGTACCACTCTTGCTAAAGATATCAGCACCCAAGCATATCAGAAAGCATCAAAGGACTGAACTTAAAGGGGCCTTGAGGTCTGGGACATGGACCTCTCCCTAATAAACTGGGTGGGGAGGGTTGGGGTGGGTAGAAGACCGATAACAGAATGGGCTTCCCTTTTGTTAAGATGTTACCTCTCTCTGTCTCAGCTTCCTCATCTCTAAAATGGGGAAATAATAATTTTTCCCTCATAAAATCTTCATGAGGGTTATAATTCATGAAAGATGTATAGAGCAGTGTTTAACATAAAATATTTTACACATTTATATCCCAAGGAGCTTTTCTGTCATGGAGGAGGAAGGGGACAACCAATAAAGGGTGATTAAATATTTTCCTAACCAGACAAGCTGGGGTCTCAGAAGCTGAATCATGTGGTCATACAGAGGCATCCATTTTTTTATTCTATAGTAATAGAACCCCTGATTTCTTTACATGGCTACTCCAGACCAACACTGAATCTCCCAAACTTCATTGAAGGTAGGTGTGGCCACATGACTACTTTCTGGTCATGGGATATGAGGGATAGTGATATCTGTGATTTAAGAGAAATGACCTTACAAGGGAGTCAGACCATGCTCTTATTTCTTCCAATTTTAGACGAAGAAGATGAGGCTACACCATAGAATGAGATGAAGCCGAAAGCTGAAAGCAGATTGGAATGCGGGGGAAGGTGGAGCTGTTTTATTAGCTAAATCCATATTTTTATGTAAATGAGAAATAAATGTCTTATTTAAGTTATTATTTTGAGTCTTTAGTACACATAACTGAAGCTAAACCCTAACTATTACAAGTAGATATAAAGAGAATAAACAAATGAGTTATTTCTTACTTATTAAGTGTGTATATCAAAATTCACACCCAGCCGAAACCAGTTTGGCTCAATGGATAGAGCGTCGGCCTGGGGACCGAAAGGTCCTGGGTTCAATTCCGGTCAAGAGCATGTACCTTGGTTGTGGGCATATCCCCAATAGGGGGTGTGCAAGAGGCAGCTGATCAATGACTCTCTCTCATTGATGTTTCTAACTCTCTATCTCTCTCCTTTCCTCTCTGTACAAAATCAATAAAATATATTTTTAAAAAAAATTCACACCCATTAGGCTTGTAACTGTGATAAGAGCCCCGAGGAGGCAGTGATAAATGTGCAATAGATGTTTATTACAGAACTTGACTAGGTTTTGAAGGCCAGGCAGAGGAGATAGGGCATTCCTAGAAAAGTGAACAGCTAGACAGAGGTAAAATGAAACATATATTGTTTGAGTGAGATGGCAGTGTGCAGAGAGCTTGAGGTGGGGGAGTGGAAGAGGAGAGGGATGGAAAGCCTGGATGATACTCTACTGAATAAGGCTTTGTATGCCATGCTAAGAGTTTTTAAAAATGTTATTGTTTGTTTTGTGTTTTATTTTCCCATAGATATATATATATTTTTTAAGTCAGAAAAATGACAGGGTCAGAATGATCTTTTAGAGAATAACTGGTTGTATTTGGAAACTATAAAAGAGAAAAAGATTGGAACATCTGTAAGGCGGTGACTGGCATAAAGAGGCAGGAACAAAGGAGGAATTGAACTGAAGCCATGAGAATAAGGAAGACAGCTGAAGGGAGAAATCATTTACTCTGGCTATGAATTTTCATATCTGCACAAAAGCTAAAAGCATGTTATCATTTCAAAGTAGGCATACAAAGGATTTTGAATAATAAGACATGATCTCTACCCTTCAGGAGTAATTACCCCTTGTAGGGGAGGACAGGATACGCAAACACAGTTAACAGCTCTTTAACCAGTCTTCCAAATATTGCCACTTGTTTCAGGTAGTTTAAAGGCATGGCTCTTGTGTCTGTTTCCAGTTCCCAGGTCTTCTCTCCACAGCCTCCTCTGAAATGCCTTTTCCTCTCTTATTTGGGAGTGTCTACCTTTTGTTCTTTTAAGCCTGAGCTGAAGGTCACCAATTCTGTGTCTTCCTTCCTGATCTCTCTTTCCATCCTCAACCAATATCGTCCTTTGTGCCAAGTCTTTTACAGCTTGTACATAATTACACTTTATTACTCTTACATCTATATACTTGGTATATACCTTTTGCTATATTTGCTATATATTTCATTGCTCTAAATTACATTCGTGTTAGACTATAAGCAGGAAGGCAGGAAATATCTGATTTTTCTTAGTATCCATTGCGTCTAATTAAATGTCTGGTGTAGAGTAGATGCTTTGTCAATGGTTGTGGAAAGTAATGAATAGATAGATGTAACTTTGTTCAGTACTTATAACAATTGTTCAGCAAAAACTCACTTGCCCAGATCACTCACATAAATAATTTAGGATCACTAGGTTTTGTGTTCTTGTAAGTATGATTATTTAGTCAGAAAACAAAGTTATTTTGAATCACTGGATGTGTGTTTTTCACTCTGTATATATAGATATGATGATAATTCATTGGTGATATCTCATTTTTAAAATAGTGGGAAGCTTGCCTGGCCAGTGTGGGTCAGTGGATGAGTGTTGATCTATGAACCAGGAGGTCACAGTTCGATTTCTGGTCTGGGCATATGCCCAGGTTGTGGGCTCCGTCCCCAGTAGAGGAAGTGCAGGAGGCAGCCAATTAGTGATTTTCATCATTGATGTTTCTATCTCTCCCTCTCCCTTTCTCTCTGAAATCAATAAAAATATATTTTAAAAAATATTGGGAAGCTTGAATTCACAATTACTTTTCACTAATGTGTTGGAAATGGCCTTTTATTTTGCACAAGTAATTGCACATTTACTGAGGAAATTTAGGAGAGCCCATTTTTAACTCTAAAGGGAACTTTTTTAAAAACCCACTAGCAAAGCTACTGATGCAGATTGGAAAAGCTCCTATGTGGAAAGAGTATTTTTATTCCTCCTGTATATTTCTCTCTTTTAACGGCTATTAAACAAGAAAGCCTATATTTAAATAACTTAATTGAAAGCAATGATTAAATAACAGTAAAAAACTGGGAATATTAAAATTAATCTAGGCAAGACTTAAGCAAAATTAGAATTACCGATTCATCTCTTCCTTGTTAGGGTCCCCTTCTGAGTCAGAAGAAGAAGCCCCTGAAAAAAATAACCAAGACATGAAACTTTTAAGGTAATTTCTTAAACTGGTTCCTAGACATTTGAAGACCTATAGAATTTCAGACATAAAAATGAACTTGTTGGTTTCTTACACTAACACACACCCACTTTTACAGGTGAGGAAATGGATTTTAAGTAGCTGAAGGGCTTGCTCAAACCCACATGGTTAATTAGTGATAGTGTTCAAATTAACTGGTCCAAATTCCAAGTGTTCTTTATATAAAACACCTGCTGATGCCTTTGGACTAAAAAAAGCCTTTGCAGACATTAATATGGTGTCCATAAGTCCTCTTACTCCTGACATACCCAGACTAAATAAAAGAAGGGATTACATTGGATTCCAAACATTGTAGATGTAGGTGGATGCTCTTCCGCCTAGTCCTAATATTATCAAGTTATATTTCATCTCAGGAGGGGGGTGCTTCATGTTCTGTTGCCATAAAATGAAAAAAAAAAAATCAGCAATCCAATCTCAGCACTGTTCCCAGAACTTTGATCCTGGCTTTACTTCTCGATATAGTAAATTCCAGGAAGATTTATCAGAGCTAAATCTGGAGGCATTTATTGAAATCCAAAATTTTGAGAATGAAAATATACCACACACTTCTACTCACATATTATTCACTATTATCATCATTATACACAATCTATTCAATAAATATTTATCGGATACCCACTATGAACTTGGCATTATATTGGAGATATAGAAGAATGAGACAGAACCAGCCTTACAATCTAGTTCATAAATGGGCATTTAAATAATAATAATGCATTATTTAAGTGCTGAAACCAACGCCTACATAAGGTATTTTAGCTGATAAAAGTGCCCAAGAATGCTTCCCAGAAAAAACCCCCAGGAGATGAGATAAATGGGAACAAAACTTTACAGATATGTAAGGAACATAAATTGATTTATTCTCTAAAATTAGACATATAAATTTTGTGCTGATGTAAATACCTTTCTAAGGTTGACAAGTGGTCTCCTATCATCTACCCTTGAATCCATGTGGTATATTTTCACCCAGGAACCAGAGTGACCATGTTAAAAGCTAAGTCAGATTATGTCACATCTCTGCTCAGAGTACTCCATAGCTTCTCATCTCCCTCAGAGTAAAAGTCCAAGTCCTGGCAAATGAACTACATAATCTGTTCACTTGCCTCCTCCCATCTTGAGCCCATCTTGAACTTCTGACCTACCCCTGATCTTTTTTTTCTTGTTGCCTTACCTGGCCACAATGCTCGTCTCTTTGTAGTAAGACAGGCACACTGCCATTTCAGGGCCAGTGCAGTGTGGATTTCTGTGCCTAGAGTTCTTTTCTCTTGAATATCCTTGCGGCTCACTCTTTCACTTCCTCTAGGTCTTTCTCTTATATGTCACTAGTTAGTGAGGTCTTCCTTGATCACCCTATCTAGAATTGCAGCTTACACACACACACACACACACACACACACACACACACACACACACACACTCATACTTCCTATCCCCAATTATATATACTGTGAAATAACAAAAAAAAATATATATATAGGTCACTACCCCTGGTTCCTGGCACAGAGCCCCTAAAACTGTTATAATTTCCTAAGTAATGAGCACTTTAGAGTATCTCTTGTTTTTGCCTTTGACTCCATTCCTGACACAGGGCTCCTAAAACTCCTAAGTGATAAGAGCACTTAATGGACCTTTTGTTCTAATGAGATAACTAGGTCAGCTCCTCTCTGGTTCTTGGATGGAGGTTGGTCTTCAGAAAGACTAAGCCATGATTAGAAGCTTGGACTTTTCAGCCCCACCCCCTACAACCCAGGAGGAGAAAAGGGGCAAAAAATGCCTATGTGAGGAAGCCTCCTTAGCTATTGTAGGTATAGGTGGGCGGGGTTTGGAGAGCTCCCAGGTTGGTGAACATACTAGAAGCTTGGAATCCAGGAGGGTGGCACACCCCAACTCTACTGGAACAGAGCTCCTATGCTCAAGACCCTCCCAGACCTCACTCTCTTTATCTTTCCATCTAGTTGTTCATCTGTATCCTTATCATATTGTTTAATAAACTGCTTATCAAAAGTAAATGTTTACCTGTGTTTTGTGACACATTAGAAAATTAATCAAACCAGAGTTGGGGATCATGGGAACCTCTGATATGTAACCAACCCAGACAAATGTGGGTAATCTGGGAACCTACTACTTGTGATTTTGTGAATTTGAAGTGAAGAAGGAGCAATCTTAAAGAACTGAGCCCTTAACCAATTGGATCTTACACTATCTCCAGGTAATTGGTATAAGAGTTGAGTTAAATTGTAGGATATTCAATTGGTGTAATGGAGAATTGCTTGTTGATGTAGGAAGTTTCCTACCCCCCACACACACCTGCTATATATATATAAAGTATATGAGACTATATATATATATATATATATATATATATATATAGTCTCATATACTTTATGTCTCTCCATTACAATGTAAATTCCATCTTTCCTTGAACCTAGGAATTTTTGTCTATTTGGTTCACTGCTGTTATCCCCACTGCATAGAAGGATGTGTGGTAGAATAGTCCCTCAGTAAATATTTATTTATTATAACTATATGTCTTACCAATAAATGCCATACTCCAAGAGTATTTTGCTTTACCTTCTATATAAATCTCAGCAGAAGTTGAATCTGTCCCATAGATGTTAGAAGCAAAGCAGGAATAGCGTCCTGTGTCCTCTTCAAAGGCTTCAGCAATGGTCAGTGAGTGCAGATTTCCCGCCTGGACAATGTGAATGTCTGGGGAATTTTCAAGCTCCTTGCCTTCACAATACCACCTGCAAGGAAAGGAGTATGGAATATGACTGAAATGTGAGAGTGAATGACATAGATGTCTTCAGATGTTCCTTAAGAAGAAAACTGTGAAACTGTGGCAAACTTAGAGTGGAAACATTAAACAATCCACTATTATAGTATAATTTAATTGTAACTATGAGAAGACCTGGCAATATTCAAATCACATTGTCCCTTTACTCAGGAAATTAGAAAGTGGTTTCTATGAAGAATGATACAACTGTGAGAAGATGGATGAAAAAACAAATATAGCCAACCATGAAGAGTAGGGTCTTGGATGTGGAACTCGGCTTCCCCTAATAAGACTTACAGCTTTCTACAGTATGCATTAAGTACTAGTTTAGCTTATTTGAAGATGAGTTGAGTTTGTTCATTCCCTTCTACAAAATTTCTCCTGACCTAACTAAATAAAAATTATTCTGTTAGTTACTTGAATCATCAAAGTAAAGAGGATGGGTCATAGTCACCCGGAGTGGCCCAATTCTGGCAAATAACCTAAGTATATTGCTATAAGTTATGGTATTTTACTTTAATTCTATATATTTAAAGTTAGAAATTTTTATTATAACATAGATTTTTGGCCAGAAGTTTACACAGAATAATACATAAAATAAAGTTTAAAATGTGGAGGTGCAAAATAAGGGGAAAGGCCAGGAAAACTACAAGGAAATACCATTTCTCACATAACAGATTGGCAAAAGTGTAAAAGTTTGAGCATTATCATACACTGCTAGCAGGGATGTAAAATTTATATAACTTCTATGGAAGGAATATGGCAATAACTTCCAAAATTACAGATGCATTTATCCTTTGACCCAACAATCTCACTTGTGGGATCTATCATTCAGGTACAGTTGAATACATACAAAACGACAAATGCATAGGTATTCATTTAAAGCACAAACAATTAGAAACAACCCAGTGTCCATCACGAGGGGGCTGGTAAGTAAACTATGGTACAGCCACATAATTGAACACTATGCAGCTCTATAAAGAGAATGATAAAGATCACTCTGTACTGAGATGGTGCCCCAGAATAAAGGCTGAGAAGCTGGCTGTGTGAGTGGCTGCTTCGTATTGGAACAAGAGGAAGAAAGGCTTGTGGGAGGGATTTCTCTAGGAAAATAAACAAACAAACAAACCAAAAACGGGCCTGATGAGTTAACTGCATGGAACAGAATATTTAGGAAATATTTTACAAATGTATTGGAGAATCGAGACAAATCTGTGATGAGACCACAGAACTAAGTACATAAAAAAGCAAGATAGTAATCAACTCCAGGTCAAAATAAAAAGTTGTATCAGCAGCCTGGCCAATGTGGCTCAATGGTTGAATGTTGACCCATGAACCAAGAGGTCACAGTTTGATTCCCAGTCGGTCGAGGCACATGCCTGGGTTGCAGGCTTGGTCCCCACTAGGGACATGCAGGAGGCAGCCGGTCAATGATTCTTTATCATCATTGATGTTTTTATTACTCTTTCCCTCTCCCTTCCTCTCTGAAATCAATAAAAACATATCAAACTAAAAGAAAAACAAAACATTCATTTTACCCTACTTGGATTAGCAGTGAATAATACTTACATAGTAACAAAAAGATAAACATTATTTTTTTTAAGCAACAGTATGCTATGATTATATTGAGGCAATGCAGGAAGGAACAACAGAGATTCTGGTTTAGTGAAAGGCGCTAAACCACCATCTTTTGGAACAGAAAGTCAATATAAAATAGCTAATATCAGCATAGCAAGCAACAATGGAATAAGTATTACAGTGGTTCTCAAAGTGTATTTTGCTTTCTGTGAAGACAAGACTATTTTCATGTAATACTAAGATATTTGCCTTTTCACATGTTGATATTTACACTGATGGTGCAAAAGCCACAATGTGTAAAACTGCTGGTGCTTGAGTTCTTTACCATCATACTTGAAAGCTTAAAAAAGAAAATCTGTTTTTACTTTAAAATATCCTTGATGAAGCAATAAAAAGCATTACTTTTATTAAATCTCTACCTTGAGTCCATTTATTTTATTTTATTTTTTATTGATTTCAATGGAGAGAGGAAAAGAGAGACAGAAACATCAATGATGAGAGAGAATCACTGACCGATTTCCTCCTGCAGGCCACCTACTGGGGATCAAGTCCACAACCTGGGCATGTGCCCTGACCAGGAATAGAACCCACCACCTTTTGGTGTATGGGACTACACCCAAAAACTGAGCTACAGGGTCAGGTTAAGTCCATGTCTTTTTAACATTCTGGGTGGTGAAATGGGAAGTAGCATAAAGCATTTCTATTAAATATGAAAGAGCACTTGTGTGATTTTTTTAGTTGAAATAGGAACTGTAGAGCCACTGACAGCTCATGGCTTCTCAAACTTGGGTATTAAGCAGTCATTTTCTCAAAATGTCATTTCAAGTACAAATAACTGATAACATTTCAAGTATAAATAACTATAACATTTGTCACCAATGAAAAATAAGAGATTTGGAAAACTTGGATCCTCCACAGTAAGTTTAGGTCTTCACAATATTTAAAGACTTTTTAATGAAATCAATTATCATATTAACAGATACGGTTTTTAAAAACTATCATTAAAAAATGTGCCAACATTTGGCAGGTCAGCATTACTCATTTTCCAAATGACTAATAGGTGATGTTTCTCAGTTTTAATTTCTAATATGATAATTACAGATATAAACCACATAGATAAAACCTCTCTCTTTTAGGATTCGATAACTTTTAAGACTACAAAGGAGTTCTGAGAACAAAAAGGTTAAGAGCCAGTGGCACATCATTTAGAAATCTAGAGGTAAATAAATAGGAAACTGCAAAAAGAATTGAAAGTGGTCTGCTCTTTAATATTCAACTTTTTATGAAATCTACCTGTATTAATTTGGAAAAACAAATTTAAATATTTCAAAACCAATAAGTAAATACCTCCCCTTATATAAATACTATAAGGTTATCTCATTTCTTTAGATAACGTTTCCATTCCTTACCAAAATGAGAGTGGAAACATCCATGAGCAATCGGACAGCCAGGAAGTGATAAGAGGAATGATTCAAATGCCCAAACTCTCTGTCAGAAGCATTTTGTCCTTACTCAGACAGCCAGGATGGCTTCAGCCAACCCCAAAGAATAGTAAGTAACATCACTCTGACTTTAACACCATTACCCACTCAGAAATAATGCACTAGTCAGGCTGCCTTTTGAAAAGGTATTAAAATTGACCCAGCTATACTAAGACTTTTGAGGGTAAGGTCACAAAGACATCTATCCATGTTAGGGAATGCTTTCATAGAAATGCCCTGGCCCAGCTATGTGTTTTAGAACGCCAAATCCTCATGACAGTTACAGAATAGCAGTGATTCATGACTCAGAAGAAATGAGTCATTGATCTGGGGAAATAGGGCAGGTCCAGATTATAAAGAAGAGCCCACCTTTAATGCACTAAGGATAGCTCACCAGACCTGCTTAGGCTCGCTACAAGCCTAAGAATGAAGACATGGAGGAGACACATTTTTTTCAGATGTAACTGGTGGGTTGCATACCACCATTCTGCTGTTCGGTTCCTCTTTTATCTATGCTACGGCTTGAATAAATATTATGACTCATAGCTTTAGCACATTAAAAACTTCTAAATGTAATTTGAATGTGTTCTTCTGACTCACCAGTAATAATGCTCATTAAAAAATGATTACTCAGAGCCTTTCTTTAGTCCAGCTCCTGCCCTTCCAGTGTCCCTGTTCCACCTCTTATTGTTCCCTCTCCTAATGCCTTGTTCACTTCCATCTCAGAAGCTGTATATCATTTATATTTATACATTCATTATGTATAATATACCCATTACTGGACAATAATGCCACAGGGCAAAGATGATCGCATCTATTGACTACTTGTTTATCTGGCTCTTGGCCAGATATGGCACATTCTAGATGCTCCAAAAAGTGTTGTATACATGTTAAATGAATAAATTTAAATTAGGATTATTATAGCCTAAAGTCTTTCATTTTGAAGATAATGTAAGAAACCTCTGGGACAACTTCAAGCGAACCAACATCAGAATTATGGGGGTCCCAGAAGATGGGAGAGAGCAAGATATCGAAAACATACTGAAAGTAATAGTGACAGAAAACTTCCCCCACCTGGGGAAAGAATTAGACTTACAAGTCCAGGAAGTGCACAGAACTCCAAACAAAAGGAATCCAAAGAGGACCACACTAAGACACATCATAATTAAAATTCCAAGAGCAAAAGACAAGAGAGAATATTAAAAGCAGCAAGAGCAAAGAAGGTAGTTATTATACCTACAAAGGAGCACCTATACAATTGTCAGCTGACTTCTCAACAGAAACCATGCAGGCCAGACGGGAATGGCAAGAAATATTCAAGGTGATGAATAGTAAGAACCTACAGCCAAAGATAATCTACCCAGCAAAGCTATCACTCAGAATCGAAGGTCAGATAAAGAGCTTCACTAATAAAAAAAAGCTAAAGGAGTGCATCACCACCAAACCAGAGTTATATGAATTGCTGAAGGGGGTTCTTTCAGAAGAGAAAGTAAATAAAGATAAAAATTATCAACAACAAATACGTAACTATCAGCAAGTGAATATAAAAACCAAGAAAATTAAAAAAAAAATCTGATGAACAATATTAACTGTTGAATATAATAGAATCAGAGGTATGGAAGGGGAGTGAACTGACGATTCTTGGGGAAAAGGGGAGAGGGGGATGTGGGAAGAGACTGAACATAAACTGTGCACCTATGGATGAGGACAATGGGGGGGTGGGGAAAGGGCAGAGGGTGGGGTGGGAACCTGGTGGAGGAGAGCAATGGAGGGGGGGGGAAAAGGAACATTTGTAATAATATGAACAATAAAAACTTATTTTTTTAAAAAAAAAGAATGTTTATAATAGCATTGTTCATATTAGGAAAAAGAAACTGGAAGCAATGCAAATATACATCAATATCCTCCAGCC